GAGTGCCACATGGAGCGGTAGTGGCTCTTATATGGAAAATATGTTAGAAGCTCATCAGAACATTCGCGACAAGCATCCCTAATTATTGTGACGATACGGAAGGCTTGTGGCCGAAGCGTCTGCGGCTACTCTTGCTTCTATTGTAGCTACTTACCACTATGTACGGCATACAGACCAGGGCTCTCGGGGGGGGGGGGGAGGGAAGGGGGGGAACTGGATTTAACCATTGACCCTCTATGTGATAGCGCGAACCGGCGCGTTCCTCTAGCCATGTTCGCGTCAGGAGGGACGGCTCCTGACCAGAACGGCAGCCACGCGGCGTCTGGAGTCTCTACCCCCCCCCCCCCCCCCCCCCCTCTCGGCTGCCGGTCTCGCGCGGTCCGGCCGGCGCGGCACCCCCTGGCGTGTCGTGACGTTCTCCCGCCGCCAGGTGACGCTAGCGCCGCCGGTGCCGCCGTCCGTGTCGGCCTGCCACCAGACGGCTTACGACCTGCCGCTGCGACTCTCGGCCACGCCACCGCCGCCGCCGCCGCCCCGCTGCGCCGAGGCGCTGCTGGCGCTGTCCGCCCCCTGCCCGGCCTCCTGTCAGGTGGCCCTCAGTCGGCCGACGCCCGGCGTGACGGCCGATCAGCTGTTCTCGGTCCGCGCCGTGTTCAACGCCGTCACAGGTGAGGCGTGTGCTAGAGACCGCCGCCGACGGCGAGCCGGTGACCGCCTGTGAGTGGCCGAGGCCGGCGCACCGGCCGTTTTCCTATCAGCCCACCCATTGAAAATCGCGTGGGCTTTGCTTTCGTTGGTTTTAAAGGCGTGTGTGCCATGAGACGTGACCCATTTGTTGCAGCGTTGCTTCGTAGGCGGGTATCAGTGCCAGTGGGGCGTGGATATCTTCTCAGTCTCGTGACCGCGTGCTAGGTGTTTGTCAAATGCGTATTTCACCTGGCTCCAGGGGGCGGCTACCAATGCCAGCTGACGCCGCTGTGTCCCCTGACGCCCCCAGTCGTGTACTGACACCCGCGGGCGGTCCATCAGGTGGCTACCAGTGTCGGCTGAAGCCGCTGTGTCCGGCGGGCGCGGCGGCGGCGCGGCTGGCGCTGGACCTGGTGGTGACGGCCGAGGTGGCGGCCGCGGCCGGCCAGCCGCCGCTGCGCTCGGCGCCCGTCCGGCTGCCGCTCGTGCCGCCCGCCCACCTGGAGACGGCCGAGCTGTGGCTGGGCGGCGCGCTCACGGCCGGCGAGCTGCTCCTGATCGGCGCCCCGGACGTGCTGCACACGGTCACGGCCACCGCCAGCGACGAGCGGCTGCTGCAGGTCAGGCGGGGCCCCGGCCGGCCCGCTCGCTGTGACCGCCGCGGACAGGGTCGACACGGGGGTGCCATGCGATCCGTGCGTGTTTTAGCTCGGGCTCTTCTCTGACTGACGTCAGACGCCTGTATGTTTGGCGATGATCGCGATTGGGTGGCCTCAGGCCGTTTTCTTGACTGTGGTCAGGCCGATGATGCTCGTGGCGCCCGGCTCCTGCCGTGCCCGGCCGGCCCGTGCCGCCTCTGACCACGGTCCGTCTCCGCCAGGTGTCGCCGCCGCGCCGCGACGGTAACCGTCTGCGTGTGCCGGTCTCGCTGCTGCCGGCCGCCTGGTCCGCCGGCGGCAGCCGCACGGCCGGCCTCTCGGTCCGCTTCGTCGTGCCGGCCAGCGGCCAGACGCTGACGGCGGCCGTGCAGCTGGCGCCGCCGGAGGGCGCGTGGCAGGCGCCGCCGCCGCCGCCCGGCTGGGGCCACGTGATCTCACTGCTGTTGGACCATTACTGGAACTGGGTGTGCACCACGCTAACGGCGCTCGGCGCCGCCACGGTCGTCTACCTGCTGCTGCGCCAGCTGCGGCCACTGACGGCCGGCGTGGTGGCCGCCGCGCCGGCCGCGCCGTCGCCGCTGCCGCCGCCGCAGTTCAGTACGCCGGCGCTGGCCTACGGCAAGGCGGCCGACGCCAGCCCGCCCCGGCCGTACCTCTGGACGGACGACTCGGGGCCCATCTACGGCAGCCCGACGCTGCTGCGTCGCTCGCCGTATGCGAACGGCGACCGCAGCCGCTCGCCGTTCATGGAGACCGATCTCGGCGGCTCTCCGTACAGATAGTGCGGCGGAGACGGCGGCCGAGCTCGCTGGCGCCCGCCGCCGATGGCGATCTCCGTGCCTTGAAGGAGGTGCTAGCAGAGCAGTGTGCAGAAACTGCGTCAGAGAAGGACGGAGAGGCTGACTGAGGTCGGCACGGGCCCAACGCGGCCGACAAGTCTGCGACGGAAGGGGGACTGCAGGTACTCCGCTCCTGAGAGATGTCAGGTGTACACCACGTCGGCTGGTTTCCGTGCGCGAGCTGTGGGCTGCTTACAGGCGGACGACGCTCGGATTGACTTCTGTGATGCAGCAGCGTTACCAACTGTTCAAAACGGTCATCTGGACCCTACGCGGCGAATCTGAGGGCGTTTCACCGACCACGCGCGGCACCGAGCGATGCGCCGTGTCCGCGCTGGGACCGGTGGCCACCCAACTTTGATCGTTTTTTTGTTGCCAAACTCGTTCTTGAAGAGTTGTCGCGGCTCGTCCGGGTGGCGAGGGCGTCCGCGCGTGTGTCGGCGCGGACCGTCTGCGCGTGTGTCGGCGTGGACCGCCCGCGCGTGTGTCGGCGCGGACCGTCCGCGCGTGTCGGCGCGAACCGTCCGCGTGTGTCGGCGCGGACCGTCCGCGTGTGTTGGCGCGGACCGTCCGCGCGTATGTTGGCGCGGACCGTTCGCGTGCATCGGCGCGGACCGCGGGCTCGCGCTCCGCCGTCGCGCAACCGGAACGGGTGGCCGGCGCTGTGTCGGCCGCAGGGCCGTGCTCGACGCTCGGGCGCGTCGAGTGTAAGCTTGGGACTCGTCAGGGTATCATTGTCATCCCCGGCCGCGGTTCAGGACGGAATCGCTGGAGGCGGTCAGGCTGGCAGCCGGGCGGACCGGCCCGCCAGTGGTCATACGGTCTCGTCAGGTGGAAAGCTTCTACTGCCGCTCATGTGAAAATTTAACTCAGGACTCATTGTCAAGTCGCATCGACGCCATGGCGTGTGCCCTGATCGGGATGCGGTGGTCGTGTGGTGGTTTTTACCTCTCAGCGGCGTCATCGCCGTGACTGGTGGCCTGGCATTGGCCCGGTCTTGCATTCTTGGGCGAGACCGGTGCTGCGAGGTGTGTGAGAGACTGAGGACTAAGCGAAGGGCTGGGTTTAGATGTTCGCGGTTCAGTGTCATTCTTTCATACCTTGCCATTTGTACTTAGCTCTCGAATAGACACTGTCATCAGCATAACCCATCGGCTTGTTGTTTGGGTGACCGGTGGTGTAATGGTCAAGCTGTGCGTGTGGAAAACCAGGAGGTACGGAGTTCGATTCCCCGCGGTGTCCACCCTTCCTGCCAAGGTGAGAAACAGGCGACGTCCTATAGATTCAGCAGCTTAGTGCGTCGTAAGGCCCCAATGGTGACGGCCAGCTTGTTCCTTCCGCAACTCCCCGCCGTACTGACGAGGTCAGCTGCAGGACGCGTCTTTAGATGAAGCAGGTGCCACTGCCCGGTTGTGGTTAAGCACTGTAGGTGCGGCGGCTGCCTGCGCCGGTGAGCGCCGCCTCGTGCACGACAGCGTCACCTGGTGGCGCAGCCCCCGTCCGAGCTCACCCCACCCCTCGCTTGGCCACCGGGCGGTGGCCACGCGGGGCCACACGGCGCTCAGGCGTCACTTCTGTGGCGACGGGATGGCGTCACGTTGCAGCGATTTCCTATGTTGCGGATGCCACCCTCTTATGGTGGCCCAGCGCTCAAGAGCAGTATGGCTGCGTGCAGGGTAGCGGACATGAATGGGCGTGCATTTGTACGTCAGGTCCACAACCCTCACGCCGTTATCCTTCAGTTGAGGGAGGCGAAGCACCCTGCAGTTGATCGCGCTATTCTGTGGTGCGTGGTAACACTTCTGTAGCGGTTAACTGTACTAATCGGTAGTGCGTGATGACGCAATTCTGTAGTGGATGACATGGGCGCCATATGACCAACGTAGTCGGTGCGCCCCAAAGCCCAAATAATCATCATCATGCAGTGGATGACGCTATTCTGTGGTGAGTGATAATGCTGTTCTACAGCGCGTGATTGTGCTTTTCTTTAGTGGTTGACAGCACTATACTGTAATGCATGTTGGTGTTGTTCTGCGGAGGGTGATAACGTTAATATGAAGCGCGTGATAGCGTTATGCTGTGATTCGTGATAGCGCTATTCTGTTGGGCATGGTAGCGCTATTCTGTCGGGCATGGTAGCGCTATTCCTGTTGGGCATGGTAACGGTAGCTTTTTGGGCATGGTAGCCTATTCTGTTGGGCATGGTAGCGCTATTCTTTTGGGCATGGTGGTGCTGGTTTTTGGGGCATGGCAGGCGTATTATGTTGGGCATGGTAGCGCTGTTCCGTTGGGCATGATAGCGCTGTTTTGTCGCGCATGATAGCGCAGTTCGCTGATGACATAGCGAGAGTGAAGCCGGGGAATGCTACCCACCGCACAGGTGTGTGACAGATCTTAAGTGGGGTAGGCGGACCGGCATGGAAAGCAGCAGATACCGGCTTAGCATGAACCGGAAACGGACACGACAGGCGTTGGGAACCGGTGGCAACACAGCGGATTTGACCCCTGCGGGAGACATCCGTTTCGAACCAGTTGTTTCCGTTTGAAGCCATTTCAGGCTTGACAAAAGGCGTGCGCCGTTTATCGGGTCACCTCCGGGAATAGTGGCCAGTCAGCCGCCGTTTGGGTGACTGGCCGCCCCGACGCCCTGGCGTCAGCTACACCGAATCGCCCCCTCATCGGCGCGATCGCCCGGCGGACGGCAGCCAACACCGGCCGACGCGAGCCGACGAGCGGCCCGACTCCGAGCGGCCCGGATTTAGTACCGCCGCGACCGACGGTGGCGCTCGGTGCGGCCCGCAGGCGCCTTCTTACGTTTCAGTGGGCCGGCCAGCGGCGGCGGTGGCGGGGCGCGCGCGGCGTCTAGCCGCCTGCGCTCGGTCACCGCTCGAGCGGCGCCCCATGGTGCGTCGGACGTGACCGGTCACGTGCTCGAGTGACCCCGCGCCTGGCGCCGCGACCGGCGGCGAGCGGTCGCCCGCGGCCGGCCCGGGCTGGCAAGCTGAGGAGACAGGTGAGGAACGGTGCCTTTCGGACAGACCGGGATCCGGACGGGCGAGACGGAGGGGAGCCAGACGAGACGGGAGGCGCAGGCGAGACGGGCTGGAGTTCAGCCGAGACGGGTCAGGATCCGGACGAGGTGGGCCCGAGTTCAGACGAGATGGATTGACGTGCAGACGAGATGACGTGAGGTTCAAACGGGCGTGGGGTTGTACTGGGCTCAGATCAGGCAGAAAAGTAGGGAAGACACAGGAGCGATTAGACGAGACGAGAACCGAGACGAAATCTGGGCTGAGGAGATCGAGGCGATGTGGGGAAATCGAGACGAGACGGACGTCGAGATGATATATGGACGACAGTTACCACGGATGGTTACTTTGGGGTCTGGACTGGGGTGGGATTGTGATGACCCGATATGACGGGCCGTAACTAGGAAGAGGACGTTTAAATCTCGGGCGTGGGCGGTCGCCTGACTGCTTGAAACGATCGGGCCCGATATAACACTAAACCGCCCGGCCGCTTACATGCCTCTCTCTGCTCGCTTACATGCCTCTCTGCCCACATGCCTCTCTCATGCGGTAGTACTCGTCCCCGTCTCCGGCTGGCGAGGGCGACAGCATAACATGCGACGTACGAGCATGACCGGATGTTTTGCCGTGCCCTTACGGTTCCAGATCTCCTTCAGCGCGCGCCGCGCTTTGGGTGTTCTATCACTGTGCGTCGGGGCTGACGGGACCGGCTGACCTCGGTTTATCGTCCGCAGTGCGCGCGGGTGGGCCAAGCCCTGCGCTGCTCCGGCTTCTGTGCGGTGGGGCCGGCGCTCCGGCTGCTGTTCAGTTTGCTTATTTGCCTTACTGTGTGCCTCCCACCGGGTCGTGCGCTGGCGTTGATGTGCTAGAAAAGCTAGCGGCGCAGGGCATGGCCGACGTCACCAGCGTGCCAAAAGTGCCGCTTCAAAAGGGAGGAATCCAGAGGAGTGATCTGGAGACACGGGTCGCACCGTCAGTTCCTTATCCGTCAAACCTCAGGAAACTTGAAACACGACAATCGCTGGCCATCAACGTAGCAGCCACACATTAAACGCCACTGAGGGCCGAAGGAATTGCCACTAGGCTGTTACTCGCCTTGGTTCCCCTTTATGTTTGCAAAACCCGAGCCCAATTTCCTCGAACGCTTCTAGGTGCGGACCCCAATGAGACCACTGGTGGTCACGCTCATAGCCGTCCAGACCGGAAACACCGGCGCACTGGTGCAGGTGCTGCGTCAACCACCACGACCTCGACACTCTCCGTTCTCCGCCCAGTGTCTCCGTTCTTGGCCCAACGTCTCCGTTCTCAGCTCCCCAGCGTCTCAGCGTCCGTCGTCGCGTGTGGTCGCCGACACCCGGTCGGTTGGTCTGGCGCTGCGTGACGTCATCTGACGTGCCGTGCTCGGTCTGCGTGCCGCCGAGGAAGCGTGACCGCTTCATAGTCCTAGGTCATGGCGAGAGACCTGATGTGGGATGCTCGGGTCATTAAGTGCATCGGGTGTCCGCGACGCGCGCCAAGTGTCTGCGTTCTCTCGCAGCGGGCGGGGAGCCTGAACGGGACTGGTTCTGAGTGAAGTAGGGGCAAGTGATGGTCGACAGTCGTCACTGCTGCAGTTATCACTGCTGCTGCAGTCGGCACGCCGACACCAAACGTTGTTAAGATTCAGCGCTGCGAATGAGAGAGCGTGTGTTGGGGACCAGGCCTGGTCATTGGCGGAAGCAGCGGTTGTTACTATTTTGTTAGGGGGTTAACCAGATGTCATGTGTTATCCTCGAGCTTTGTCCAAGCTCCGGTAGATCAGGAGGCCCGGCGCTCTGGCCTCCTCGTATATTTTGATCTTGTTTCATTGCCGGGTCGATCGTGCGCCTCCCTTCTCCGCTGGTGTGGAACTTACTCTCAAGTGGGCGGGTCGGCACCTCCGAGGGTTCGGTAACAAGCCCAAACGCTGCTGCTTCGGGAACTGGCCGCGCGGAGAGGATCGCCAACGACGGAGCAGCATTGCCTCCAGTACACGGCGTCGAATCTCCAGTGCCCACCCAAACCAACCTCTCGCTGTCAGATGTGAATACTGTCCTTCCCGAGGCCGATCCTGGCGTTTGTGATACACTGACCGCAGCTACAGCCGGCCGACGCACCGCTGGCCAGCCGGGGGCCTAACCGGGGCCATTCTTTAAACTGGGCTTAACAACTGGGTCCTGATCCTGCAGCCTAGTGAGACCTTGGCCCCGGGCGGCGACGTGGCTGCCGCTTGTCAGTCCGAGACAGTGTGCAGCTCACGTGCCAGAACAATTGCGCCTTATCAGCGCGCCAGCCCCCGCAGCAGAGGAACTGTCGGCAGACGCCCGCTCTGATGCGTTGAGAGCAGCATGGGAGGACAGGGCTGGGAGACTGCCGCCCCGCTTAGGGCAGGGCGAAGAGAATGAACTTGGGTCCCAGCCGGAGCAGTTGGGCAGCCAGAAGGTGAGAGTTCCGGCGGGGACGAACTTCCAGTTCGAACTTCCAGGCTGCGGACGCCACGGGGGCGATCGCTCTCCCGAGTCAGGGCATGACATTGGACGACTACTGCCCCACCCTGGGCGACGTGGGGAGACTCCTCGCAGTCGGGACAAGCTGGGCGACCGCCCTGGAGAGAGAGCCTCGGACGGGGCCCGACGGCGCCCGCCCGTGACCCGCCCCCGGCTGTGTGACCCGGCCGGCCTGAGGAGCGCGCAGGCCGCCGGGCAGCTGGAGGGCCTCAACGTCTCACCGCGCCCCGACGCTGGAGAGGCCGTGACCAGCGCTCCTCTCTTCCCCGCCCGTGCTCAGCCGACAGCCTGATCACCTCCACGGGACTGCGCAGCGCTGCTGACTCGCTGAGGCTCTGTCCCCCACGGGGCGACTCTGTTGTATCAACGGGCCGCCGTCGCGTGCACACCTGGTGGCGCGTCTGATGAACAGCCAGTATTTTGCTTAAGAGATTTAGCGTGTTCAGACTGGTCACTGGATTGGATCCAAACCTAATGGCGCCTGCTCGCAGCCGTTCCGGCGCCAGAGAATGTCTTGTGTCAACTTCCTCTGCCCACGCACATGTTTTGGCTGACCTGACAGCTTTGCTTTTAAGTTGCAGTGATTTGGGCACGCTGCAACAGCACCCTCTTAAAGCTGTAGGAAGCCGCGGTGCTGTTGCTGATAGTAGGTCGGGCTACGACGCGAACTGATAGGTCGCTTTTCCGCCCGGTTATCGGCAGGGTGTGACTGCATTGTTATCACACGACATTCAGGCTGACCCCTGGCAATTCCAACCCCGTCCCTCAGCGCAGCACCTCGGGAGGCTGTCCGGGATCCAGCCCTTCCCAGCCGGGTCTGTACCGGCGGCGCGGACGGCTCACCACCGCCGCCGGCGCCGGCTCGGTAGCAAATAGACGGCGGTGACGTCACTGCGGCGTGGTGCAGACGTCGGTCGGGCTGGCCGGCGGCCAGGGAGCCCGCCTGGCCGCCGGCCGCCTCACTCGACTGCTCTCCCGGCCCGCCGCCCCGGCCGGCGAGGCCCGCGCGCTCGCTGCTCAGATGGGCCGCCGCTCGGTTAGTCAGGCGGCCAGCGGCCCACCGCTGAACCCTGCCGGCCAGACCCCCTCGTTACTTTCAAACAGCCGGACACTTTATGGGGTGGCTGGCGGTGCGACAGCTGCCATTTTCATCGGCCAGCTTCTCCTACGTGGAAGGGGTCATGCAGGACACGATCAAACATGCACGAGATCTTCTACGAAGCGAGCTGAACTGAACCATCTCTTCGTCGGTCGAGAAAACCGCGCCAGGAAAAGCCACATGAAAATGCTGAGGCCTCCGTCCTTGACTCCCCCCTCCCCTCCTCCGTCAGTCCTGCAGGGCTATGTTCGCCCCCTGTCGCTCTGAGGCATCATACATCTCGCTGCGCCATACTCGAACACATTGGGAATTTGATTTGTCTTCATGGCCGTTCCCATCCCCTTTATCTCGCTGATACACCCTCTCCTCGTTCCGCTGTCGCGCTGTGCCGACCCAATCCCTCATCTGACGGGACTGTCCCCCATCTTCTCGTCCCGCCGGGCCATCCCCTCTTCCCAGCGGACCGACGTCCTACTGTGCCATCCCCTCGTCTCGCCAGAGCGTCCCACATCCCCGCCGCCTCTCGCCTGTCTGTCTCACATCTCTCGGCTCACCGGCCCGTCCGCCGCCCGCCGCCATCCCCTGGCGCTCGTCGGCCGCCTGTTTACCAGCCCGCTGACTTCTGCTCTCCGTCACGACTGCTGCACGGCTGCTGCTGCTGCACGACTGCTGCACGGCCCGGCTCGCGCCCGTCTCGCCGCGGCCGCGCCGGACGTGACGCCGACCACTGACGGAGAGTGCCGTCGCCGCTCGTCAGCCCGTGCTCGCCGCTCGTCTGCACTGGGCCCCGGCGCTGCTCGACACGGTCGACAGATGTTGCCGTCGTCGCCTGGCAGATGCTGTCCCCCCCCCTCCCCCGCTGCGACGCCGGCCTGGTGTTTCACGGTGTTCGGCGTCGGCCACGGGCTGTTGATGATCACATTTCTGTCGGCGCGGAGACGCGTTCTTTCGCATGAACTTTTATCGCTATTGCTGTTGCCGAAAACGGCACAATTTCTGCATCAACATGTTTCAGCTCCGATTGTCAGAGGAGATGGAGCACAAAATGACTGGAAAGGCGCGTTACGATATAGATTTTTCCAGGACAAGCGACACCATTCTCTGTTAACCAGGCCAACACATGCCACCGCGGTGAAGCTTGTCTGCAGCCAGTCCTGGCATCGCTTTCAGCTTGTGTCATCCCACAGGACCCTGCATTGTCTCCAGGCGAACGTCACCACCTCTGGCCTTAACGCCAGCCCCTGTGCAGCCCAAAATAAGCCGAGTGTGGGGCACCTCCAGAGCGGGGTCCATGGCGTTCCGGCCAGCCAGGAGGCCCACCGCTGCCTAGCGTCGCCGCGCGGTATCACGCGCTAGACCGCCTGCTGTCCTCTGACCCTCACAGTTTCGAACGTCTCCGCGTGTCGCGTGACCTCTGTCTGGGTCACGACCTGCAGCCGCGCTCGGCAGGAGTCCAGCCGGCCCCTGCATCGGCGGCAGCTGTGGCGACTGTCGCGGCGGCGGTGGACAACTTGTGGCGCTCGGTCGAGCTGGAGCAGTCGTCGGTCTCTCGCGTCGCAACTTGGCTGATCATGTGCGCAAAGTTGGATAAAGTAGCTGAAAGACGACGGCTGACCAATTTCGCGGAGTCGCGCGTGGGTCTGTGGGGAGGCGGAGTGTGGGGGCGCGCTGTGTTTAGCAGGCGTGAACTGAGCTCAGCTAATGCTATTTTCAGATCACGGTGTTTGGGCTGACTGAGGTCAAGGCGAGACCGCCTACCGTACAAGATGGGGGTGACCGAGGGCCAGATCAACAACATCATGGGAGGGATGGAGCAGACGGCTGGCGTCCGTCTGCACAACCACCGCCACAAGCTCAAACAAAGGTGAGCAAAACCACCGCCACAAGCTGAAACGAAGGTGAGTACAACCACCGCCACAAGCTGAAACAAAGGTGAGCACAACCACCGCCACAAGCTGAAACAAAGGTAAGTGCAACCACCGCCACAAGCTGAAACAAAGGTGAGTACAACCACCGCCACAAGCTGAAACAAAGGTGAGTACAACCACCGCCACAAGCTGAAACCAAGGTGAGCACAACCACCGCCACAAGCCGAAAGAGAGGTGAGTACAACCACCGCCACAAGCTCAAACAGAGGTGAGTACAGCCACCGTCACAAGCTGAAACAAAGGTGAGCACAACCACCGCCACAAGCTCAATCAGAGGTGAGTACAACCACCGCCACAAGCTCAAACAGAGGTGAGTATAGCCACCGCCACAAGCTCATACAGAGGTGAGTACAGCCACCGCCACAAGCTGAAACAAAGGTGAGTACAGCCACCGCCACAAGCTCAAACAGAGGTGAGCATAGTCACCGCCACAAGCTCAAACAGAGGTGAGTACAACCACCGCCACGAGCTCAAACAGAGGCGAGTACAACCACCGCCACAAACTCAAACAGGGGTGAGTACAACCACCGCCACAAGCTCAAACAGGGGTGAGAACAACCACCGCCACCAGTTCAAACGGAGGTAAGTACAGCCACCGCCACCAGTTCAAACAGATGGTGGTAGATGTAATCCAAACATTTGAGCATCATAATCCAGTTGAAACATGTGTGAGTGCTATACAAACACGACCAAAAGCCCAATCGGGGTGAGGTCTTGCACTGGCACAGCTGCCGTTCGATAAGCTCAAATAGAGATGGGTACAAACCGTCCCACGACTCGCCACAATTTTAAGCACTGGGTTGTCTTAAGCCTGTTTTGTACGTGCTAAGGCCTATTATCAAACTCCCCAGGCTGAGGTGCGGGGGAATGAGGGGTGCGGGAGCAACCACGGTTCCTTTCTCTTGCTTTGGGTACAGTTGCCCTGGAAACACAGCCGACGTGAACTGTTCATGCTTCAAAGTGCCGGCCATCATCACGACCCAGGCAGTTGGTGCCGCGCCTGTTTCAGCCTGGAACATGGTGCATTGCCAGAGTTCTATTCGTTAGCTGCATGGAAGACCCCAAAGCAGACTAGATACAAATCGCAGACGCACCTCCTATGACCGCTCAATACACGCGGCCGGCGGTTGGCGGTCAGTCCGGCTTGTGGGGGGTGCGCGCGCGCGGACACTCCGTCCCTGCTCCGCCTGCAGCTGATGGAGGCGGGCCCGTGCCGCCACGGATCAACACGGCCCGTTAGGTTGATAAATATTTGATGCGCTGCAACAGGCTGATGAGAGCGGCGTGCTACACCAGCGACGTCGGAAGTCCCGCCAGACGGATGCAAGCGTTCGGTCGTGGCGCAGGTGCAGCGAGTCACAGGTCCATGCGCCGCCGGTCACCTAATGCGGTCGCTCGATCGGCACTTCCGTGCTGCGATCACGTGGCACGGACCCGGGACAGGCATCACGTGCTTCTGGGATACGACCCATGAGACACGGATCTTGAACAGCCACCTCATGCTCCCACAGTCGGATCCCGGACGCGGTCGCTCGGCCATCCTGTGCTCTCGGCGTCCGATCGCGGAGCACGCAACCTCGTGCTCGTGCGAACCACGGAACCTCCTGTGCGCCCGCAATCCCACGAAATCCTGCCAGCACGCGGTCACGACGCACGTACGCACCCTGGCCAGACATTCCGTGCTTCCCGCGGCACGATGGCGAAGTGTCGAACGGACCCTGGACGGCCCCCCGGGGTCGGTGTGCGGTCCGACGACATCTCGCTCGACACCGTGTCCGCTGGTTCACGCGGCGGCTATTATTACTCGAGCGGCCACCCAACGCATTTGGCCAGCGAACACTTTGGCCAGACTGCACTATTCGGCAGCGAGTTCACGTCAGACCGGACTAAAACTCGTCTTTTTCAGAGCTTAGATTGAACAGCGCGCTGTTCATTCCGTTGATGTCGTATGCGGGGTGCTCGGCAGTCGTCGAGGATGTGTACACAGTGAAACGAGGCCTGATGTTAGCAGCGCTTGAGTTTACTTCACGATAAGAAGTAACCTACCTCCGACACTAAGTCAATTAAACATTCAAAGTAGGTGATATAGAAAAGCCTACAAACAGCCTATCGGTTTCGCAGTGTTTTTTATCCCAGTTTTGAGCATACCATACAGCCTGCACGAGAGTCACTAGTACCACACACCCCGCACGGAAGTCACTAGTACCACACACCCCGCACGGGAGTCACTAGTACCACACACCCCGCACGAGAGTCACTAGTACCACACACCCCGCACGGGAGTCACTAGTACCACACACCCCGCACGGGAGTCACTAGTCGTCAGTGACCGTCACGTTGGCACTGACGCCGGCTCCCTTTGCTGGCGGCACTCGGCCGGCCGGCTGCTGCTGCTCCTATTTTATGTATACTGTAATCGAAGTGCTTTCCCTCTGGCACGAGACCAAGCGCTTCAGAAGGGGGTGCTCAGTTAGGCACCCATTGGTCAGATGCATGCGCTTGTCAGTTTGCCTTGACAGGCTTTATTTTTGCGGCAATTTCTCAGACCACGATGCGCTAGCCAAAACGAAAACATACCGCCGCGTCGCAGGGCGTTGGCGTTTTCGACGACGTCATCGGATGGCGGCGCGATGACGTCGTCACGCGGCGCCGTGACGGTGGCATGTCACCATCAGAATCAACAGCTGACGCGCCCAGGCGAAGGAGGAACGCTGTGACCTCACTGCTGACTTATGTCGTCACGCGTTGCCATGGCAATAAGCTAAGCTCGCTCCAGCGAGCATGCTTGGCGTGCTTATCGCGGCGATGGGGATCTTTCTGCAGTCATAGGTGGTGAATGTTGGCCTGAGCATGCGAGACAAAGGCATCGTAGCGAGGGTCTCTCGGTGACAGATGTCTCCCCGGACTCTCGGAATTTCTGTGAAAACGACACGTTCATATGACTTGTGCGCGGTTGAATTTGCACGATTCTCCATTAGTTATTAGCTTATTCGCCTCTTTAATATGGTTAGAGCTGGCCCAAATCATGCCTGTCTAAGTTCAATGTGCCTTACCCTTGATCACTTCTGGAGGTCGATGTTTTAATGTCGTGGAAAGGTATTACCGCCGCTGTGATCAGCACGCCAAAAAATACAGCCAAGCTAGTGCTTAGCCAAATGGTAGTAACCGGGCTTCGAATGTAAATTCTAACGTGTGGGCGGTATTGATGGGGGTTGGAGGGTCCGGTCAGGGGTGGTGTGCCAGGTGCGAACCGGAGCGTGGTGAGGGCGCGCGGGGGTCAGGCTGGTGCCACCCGACCCCGGCCCGCCTGACCCGCAGTCGTCTGCCAGGCGACGCCGGGCGCTGACGATGGCGTCCGCTGCCTTGCCAGGTGCCGCGTCTTGGCGGCGCCCGCCGGTCGACAGGCAGCCAGGGGCCGCCGCCGGGGACAGGCAGGCGGAGGCCGCTACCGGGGACAGACAGGCGGAGGCCGCCGCTGGGGACACACAGCCAGGGGCCGCTGCCGGGGACAGACAGGCGGAGGCCGCTGCTGGGGACACACAGCCAGGGGCCGCCGCCGGGGACAGACAGGCAGAGGCCGCTGCCGGGAACAGACAGCCAGGGGCCGCTGCCGGGTACACACAGGCTGGGGCCGCTGCCGGAGACAGACAGCCAGGGCCGCTGCCGGGAACAGGCAGCCAGGACCGCCGCTGGGAACAGAAAGCCAGAGGCCGCTGCCGGGGACACACAGCCAGGGGCCGCTGTCGCGCAGAGCTGGGCGGAGACCCATGTCAGGGACTGTTTTCGGGGTTTTTCTCGAACGGGTGGATACTACCGAGAGCATGCCTCAAGAGGGAGAGGGGGGGGGGGGGGGGCGGGCTGCTTTCTGGGCTGTTTTGGTGGAAGCGGTTCGGACTTAACTGAACTAGAACCACCGAGACCGTATGCATCTGTTGTGCTCACGCTTACCGATTTATATAGCATATTTCTTCTTGCTAGCCATTCCGTCTTTATCGCTGCAATATTTCCGGCGTTCAGTTTTGGCCTTCATGTGGACCTTACGGGAGACCAGTACATAACGGCGACACCGGTAAGCACGTCACGATACTCACACCAGGAGCAAGACAACGCATCAAACCATAGCCTTATGCCGCCATCAGTGGAAAAGGGAAACAAAACGACGTGACAACTTTAGAAGTGGAAACATTCCCGGCGATCAGCGTATGTTGTGTTCTTAAAACTGTCCTTGGGCGTCATTATTTGTTTAGAATGCTATCTTCGTCTCTCATGCCGGAGGGAGTCATTTAGTCCAACTTTGGGTGTATCAGTGCAAAAGTCAGCACGCAAGGCGTGAGTATCTCTCAAATTGCCACGAAGATGCGCGCATGTGGTGCAGCGCAACACGCGCGCGTCTCTTGCAAATTGAGAACCCCTCGCTATTTGAGCACTTATCACGTTGTTGCCGCATTCGGATCACTTGGCCTGTGCACCCTACTACCCAAATATTGTTCGTGCAGCTAGCGTTATCTACCAGCCGTCTTCACCGCCGCCACTGGTCGTTGCCCCGGAGGTGCGGCCGCGTCTCCGGTCGTGCCGCAGCGGTCGGTCCGGGCTCGGGGGCCGGTCCGGCGGACCCCCACCTTCGCCGGCTGTCCCGGCCGGCTGTCTGCGGTCGGTGCCTCTGTCGCCGAGCCGCCGGCGCCGGGTCAGGTCGGCCGTGACGTCACTCGGGGTGATCGATGCTGCTGCGACCGTGGTCCCAGCTGGCCTCTGCCGCCGGCCCCGGCCCAGCACAGCCTCGCCATCGGGGTCACGCCGCCGAGGCGGGCCGGCCGGCTGCGCTGCGCCGGTCACGCCGTGGGCCGTGAGATGTGCCGTACGCGACGACGCGGGACGTGAGGGTCGGGAGACTCGCCGGGGCTCCCTCACGGCTGTGCGTGGAAACACTCGCCCTCCGACGCACGCGTGCAATGTGCGGAACAATGCGTGGGCGTCTTTAAAAAGGGCCTGTTCCGGCTCCAACCCACAGCCACCGTAAAGAGACGCGTGGCCACGGATAACTAGTGATGCCTGGCTTTGTCAGCACATCTTCTTGTTAAGCTGGCGTCTGGTGTCACGCATGGGTGCGGCTTCTCAAAGCCAGTTAAGATGAGTCTCTGCGGTGTCGAATAACGTGGAGAGGCACCCCAAACGGGGTGCCTCTATCTCGGGTTTTGTCTCGGGTTTCGGACACTTTATTTTGTAATTTGGAGAGCATAGAAACGCTATTTGATGCCTCTTCTCACGTCTGCTCGCATGAATTCGATGATTATCGGGGATGGGAGGACTCTTTCAACTTGGGAGGGCTAAGCTGCAAGCAAGCTGATGCAGCACGTGTGTGCTGGAGCCCCCGCAGCTGAGTGCGATCCCACACTCCTAGCGTGGCGTGTCGAGCCGGGACCGCTGCTGTCTCAGGTCCTCCTCGTCTGGGTGCGTGACTCTGCCGGCGCCACTCCCTGCCACCTCAGCGGCGGCTCGTCGGCCGCCCAGGCCGTAGGCAGGCAGCGCCGCCGGTTCGCGGGTGGGCCAGATGATACGGCACGTGCCGGCCGTCATGAGCGCTCTGATCGTTCGCATCTGTTGTCGGCCGCGACGAGCCACGGATCCTCGGGCGCCCGTGCTCACTAGCTGATGCGTGACACATTGTCCGCGCGCGTCGTCTGCCGGAGGCGGGCCGGGCGCGGGGACGGTCCGTGTTGCCTGTATAGAGGACAACACGAGCGCGCCCGAGGTGGCGGCTTTGTTGTGCCGTCGGACACTCTCGGGCGGGGACAGATGGGCCAGCACCCATCGGAAAAGCGACTCACTAACAGCACGCGCCAGGGATGCGCACCAGCACTAGCACAGGCGGTGCTGCATCCCTCCTTCGCTGCCCTGACGTTGCCGCTGGCAATGTGCGCCGCCGGTGGCCCACAGCTGTGGCCGCTGTCCGTGTCAGGCGACTGTGTCGGCCAGCCGGGCCGAGCCACCGCCGCTGGAATCGATAGTCGCCGCCGCCTCGTCTGCTGCTGCCGCCACCCCCTCCCCCCGCCACCCCCGTCCCTGGCACACACAGCCACATACCACGGCGCGATCAGGTACCCGCCCGCCCCCACCCACAATACGCGATCGCATTGCAAGTAGTAACACATCCACCGCCGCTGTTTTCAACCACGCTATTTTTTGTCGGTGGAGGTACGTGCCTTGCTGAAACCTTCTTGCGGTTGACGCTTGTGACCAATCAGGCTCACGGACAGAGAACGCCAGCACGCCAACTAGGCTCGCGGGTTCGATGACGTTCGATAGCGGGTAGCTTCTTTTGACGTCATTCTAACTCGTTACGTGTAACATGAGCTAATGACCCCAAATTAGCTCACATCCCTCACGCTCACCCGTCTCATCAAAGTAATGCCCTGTTCCAGGTTTGACATCGTGAAAAAGCTGGGGCAAGGCACCTACGGCAAAGTGCAGCTTGCTATCAACAAGGAGACGGGCCAAGAGGTGAGTGTAGCGACACGGGCTGGGGCGGCCTGCGTTCCTCTCTCGGGTGCCTGGCCGGGCTGGGGCCGCCGTGTGTCCCTCTCTCGGACCGCCTGGCCACGCTAGGGCCGCCGTGTGCCCCTCTCTCGGGCCGCCTGGCCGCGCTGGGGCCGCGTGTGCCCCTCTCTCGGGTGCCTGGCCACGCTGGGGCCACCGTGTGTCCCTCTCTCGGACCGCCTGGCCGCGCTGGGGCCGCCGTGTGCCCCTCTCTCGGGCCGCCTGGCCGCGCTGGGGCCGTCGCTCTGACGCGACATCGATCGACTCGGTTTTTTGTGTCTGTCGGGCAGTAGCGTGCGCCGGTCGGCAAACAACGCGCACGTGGGAAGATGGGGTCAGGAGAACCCTTGACGGGCAAGGCAATGACGAGATAAAGAATGCGGGGTGCGGAAAAGATGCCGCCGCTGGATGAGGCTGGATGGGAAGTGACAAGAGTTTTTGGGTATTGGGCGAAAATGTTGGCCGGGGTCAAAAGCGTGCGGAACTGGTAACGGCCCATCAAAGTACCTCGTTTTCCCCAGACTTCAGAGAAGTCTCCAGATTTGGTGGATTTCATTTTGAGATAGGGAGCAAGTTGTCCCGATGCCTCCGACATACCCCGATGACCAGGCTTGTGCGGGCTGATCTTGCTGCAGTTCGATTCTTACCAGAACAGAGAAGCCGCTTGGATGATGGGTGTTCGCGCGCGCGTCTTTGTTCGTGAGCAGATCAGGCGTCTTGTCAGCGACTAGGTGGGCGGAAAGGCCAAATGTCAACGGCACTGTCGTACAAGGTCATCGGTTTGCCCTTGGTCTGTTGGATCTGGTGTGCCTTCATCGCAGCAGGCAGACTCCTGGCTCCGACTCGTGGCACCGGGAATGTTTTCCCGACCTTCTTCTCTGTGCGAAGCCGGCCAGATCTGCGGAAAGCACAAAACCGTGACTCACCCAAGAGCAAGCAGATGCCTTTGGCACCGCTTGCCGATTCAGTCATCGACTCTCCGAAGTCTGTGGACTTGGCTGCGATGTCCCGCGAACGCGCTGCCAGTTTCGATCCGCGGTCGTTACGGGCGACCGCCTGTAGGGTATTGACCATCGCCCGCATGGGGTAGCGGTCGAAGCGGCGCGGCCACGGGTCACACTCCGGCTGTCAGGAGGATGCGCGCCGTCGCCTCCGCGCCTGCCGCCTGATGATGTTGGCATTCGAGCGGTGTGTTGTTGCCGGGCCGCTAAAAATAGTCGCTCCAGGAATGTTTGGCAGTCCCCACGGCGCCGCTGGACACTTGCTCGCGCCGGGAGGAGCCGACTTCTTCGGCCGGCCCGGCTCGGCTCTGCCGCTCCGCTGGGCACCGCGCGTGGCCGGCCGCCTCCCGCGACCGCCGCCGAGTGTCCGGGGGTCGGTGCGGGTTCTGTGCGGCCGCTGCTGAGCCGGGCGCGTCAGCTGTCGCGTCAGGTCAGAAGGATAGGACGGCCGCCGGCCCCGGAAGAACGGGCCCCAGGGAGCTGCGGAGGATGTGATTGGGTTAGACGAATTGGCCATCATGACGGCAGGCGAACTCTGAAGTTTGATTTGAATGTCAGTGGCGGTTAACTGATGGGAAGTCTCTCTGACGTCTTGATGCGCGTTGCCTGAGGTATGACACAGTCCAGCTCTTTATCGACGCCGGGTCTGAGCCCTGTAGCGGGGAAGAGAAGCGCTGGACGGTGGTCAGCGCAGCGGGCGCCACTTTCTATTGCCGTTGTCTGCTGGTTGATGGTAAAAGGGTTCTGAGGCATTAGCTTTAAGCCAGTTTTACGCCGGATCTTGCAGATCTCTTGTGTCGGCTATGATACACCCGTCGGGTGTGGATATCGCTGATCTTTGAGCTGGATCACCGCCTCGTCCGGAACTGAACCTTGCTTGGGTATCTAAGCCGTGGCGCCACCGTTTGATCTGAACAAGAGGGAGAGGGCGTGCCGTTCTTGGTCCGGCCGGTCGGCCGACTCTCCGGGGCTATTACTTAGTGACGTGCGGCCGTGGTGCGCCACCTTCACTGAAGCACCGCCTCTCCAGCAGACGGACGTTCTGCGGTGATTTGGCCCGTCACTGGCTGCTGTCGGGTGGCCGTCGGACTCTGGCGCCGTTCGTCTGCCGCGGCTGCCGTCTGCCCCGCACTCAGCTGCGATAGTTGGGCCGCGCGGATCGGCCGGTGCGTCTCTTGCCAGCCTGTGACGACGTCACGTCATTCTGACGGTCACAGCGATGACGCCGGCGGATATGGGTGCGCTGCGCCGGCCGCGTGCCGCGTAGGGGTGTCGCCACCACGGCGGTGCTGGCTGCCAGACGCCGGCGCCGGCGCTGGCACGGCTCCCAGCAGGGACGGCCGCCCCAGCTGGCCGCACGGGCCGGCCACCTGAATCACGGGGCGTGAGCTGAAACCCGGAGCGATCGGCGAGCCGGCGCCACGCCTGGGGGCTGGGGCGGAGCTGACTGACCACTACTCGGCAACTGGGGACGGAGCTGACCGACCACTGCCCGACAACTGGGGACGGAGCTGACCTACCACTGCCCGACAACTGGGGACGGAGCTGACCGACCACTGCCCGACAACTGGGGACGGAGCTGACCGACCACTGCCCGACAACTGAGGGCAGAGCTGACCGACCCACTGCTCGGCAACTGGGGACGGAGCTGACTGACCACTGCCCGGCAACTAGGGACAGAGCTAACTGACCACTGCCCGGCAACTGTGGGCAGATTTGATTGACCACTTCCCCACAACTGGAGACGGAGATGACCGACCCGCCTCCCGACAACTGGGAACTGACAACTGCCCGCCAACTGGGGACGATCACTGCCCGGCAACTGGAGGCGGAGCTGACCGACCCACCTCCCGGCAACTGGGGACAAAGATGACCGACCACTGTCTGGCAACTGGGGACGGAGCTAACCGACCCACTGCCCGAGAGCTGAGAACGTCAGCAAGATTGTAAAAAATGGCAACTAGGTGCTGGCGGAGCGTTGCGTTGAGACGAAGATGCTAAGAACTGGGATAATGTTCTGACTAGGCTTGTAAAGGCGCATGGCAACCGGAAGGCGAGCGATACGTACCGGGGTCCGAGAAGAAAGCAAATATCTGCACTGGATGCCGAGCGAAGAAGCGATAAAAGCCAGTGTCCGGTCTTTGGAATAGGTCTCACAGCGTGTGATGTTGAGTCTGGTGGCCTCCGATGTGACGAGCGGGGAGTCAGTGAAGCACCGCGGCGCAATCGATATCGTTGAGTATCCCGTCTTTTTCATTCTCAGTAACAGTGCGCCAACTCCTCAACCACCTGGAGAAGCACATCCTGTTTTGCCGGATAGAAATTAGGTTAGATCAATGTTAGGCCACCTTCCTATCACAGCCTCAGTCGCCTGTATGCAACACGACCTGTTCCTGACAGGCTGATTTGATTAGTACACTCGCGTCCCCTTTTTGTCATTTGCGCACGCGCTCATCCTGGGGGCCTCTCCGGTCCGCCTGTGTGACTACCAATGCTGCTCATCCCTCACCCTCTGGTCCGCCGGCATTACCCCCAATCTCATTCATTTCTCCTTCATTCAATTTGTTCATGAAGCCACCAGTGTAGCCTGCTCCTCCGCCTCCGGTCAACCTGTGCAGCCGTCGGCCTATCCCCCCCCCCCCCCCAGCCCGCGGTATATCCGCCGGCTGGTGCGTCCCACCTGGCCGCCCACACGGCCGTCGCCCAGTGCGCCCTCCCGGGCCTCGCCGCCGGGCCGGAAGTGCAGCGCGCTGCCCGCTCCAGCGGCGCCGGTCGGCGCGCGCGGTCGTCGCCGGTGACGGACCGCCGGCGGCGCTATTTCTGGAGGTGCCGTGCACGCCCGGCGTCGGGCTGGCGCAGCGCCCGGCCGGTCTGCACCGATAGTGCCTGACCGGCGGCGCACCGGCGCCGCTACCGCCGCCGGCCCGGGGCGGCATGGCCACACGACCTGGGGGGGGGGGGGGGGGAGGGGAGGGACGGTCACACCGGCCCTCGGCGGCACCAGCGTGAGGCAGTCGCGCGCCGTTATGAGCACGCCCGAGCACAGGTGCGTCGCTGTCGGCTGGCGCCACCCGCCGTCCACCAAACGGGCACCAGCCGCAGCTGTTGTGCGCGCTGTTTTACAAATGTGGCCGCGTGGTGAGCTGTGAAGACAAGGGGTGCCGTGCGCTGACCTCCGTCGTTAAAGACGTCTGCAGAGCGAGGGCACCGTTTGTTACCGTAGTCGTTGAAGCGAGTCGGCCACAGCGCTAGCCAATAGGACTGGGTCGCTGAAAATGTCAGCCCGTGCATTGGCTGGAGGGGTATAAATAGATTACGCAGTTCCACTGTAGTGGACCGGTGTCAGTCACACCAGCCAATGAGACGGGGTAGATCACACCTCCATCCAATGGAACGGCGTTCGGTAACATCACCGGCCAATGGGACGGAGGTCGGTCACGACACCGGCCAATGAGATGGGGTGGGTCACATCGCCAGCCAATGGAAAGGCGTTCGGTAACATCACCGGCCAATGGGACGGAGGTCGGTCATGACACCGGCCAATGAGATGGGGTGGGTCACACCGCCAGCCAATGGGACGGGACGGGTCACACCACCAGCCAATGGGACGGCGATATTTCTTCCACCGGTCTGTGCACCAGAGCTGGTGACGACTGGGCGGGTTTCGCCGGGCCAGGGTTCAGTCTCAACACAGCCGTCAGGGGCAGCTATACGGCTTCCTGCCGTCATTTGATAAACAGACGGGGGGCTGGTGTAAACCGTGAACGTTCCAGTAGCGTCTTGGCTCTCAGATCTTTACATCTTTGAACTCGCCCACATACTGAACTGTTTTTAGACGCTTGAAGACCAGACACAAGTACAAATAATGTTGGGGGTATATACGTACATGGTGCATCGTAAGCAAAGAAAGCTTTTAGTGGATTGATAAACTGTTTCGACCTCATACAACGTGAACAAATCATGTTGAGTGCTGTTCTGTTGGCCATTTCAATCCAGATCAGCAGACATTAGCAATGTCGGATATGCTGAATTTATCGGACGATGCACTGCACCCTTTCGTGGTCACATTTCACAAGGTTTCACTGAAATCGATTATAACAATGCCGAATATTTCTGTCATTGGTCATTCGGTTCCCCTTCTATGCGATCGGCAAGGCAATCCCCAAAAGTATAGGTTTTCGAGCGCAGTATTTGAACACTGCTACACGTACTTGATTAATGTCTCGTAAAATTGTATTGAAATGAATTATGCCACAGAATGCCCAGCTCGTCTGTGTTGTGATATATACGGGTGTCAAAAGGAGGGTAATTTTGAAAGCAAACAATTCTTTTAGAGATTTTATGTGCGAGTACTTACATCGCATGTATTCGAGATGTGTCTAGATGTTTTCAGCCAACGTTACGATTCGTGCGCGTCAGACCATGTGACATTGTTTTTATTTGCCAACATCTTGGCTCTCCGGTCACGGACATGTCTGCTCAGGTGGCCATCAAGACGATCAAGAAGGCGAAAATCGAGACGGAGCAGGACCTGGTGCGGATCCGGCGGGAGATCCAGATCATGTCATCGGTGACCCATCCACACATCATCCACATATTCGAAGGTACGCGTGCTGTGCCGGCGGCTCGCTTCAGCAGATCTTGCGCGGCGGGAATAGCCCAGAGTACCGCGCGATGCCTCTCTCCGCTGGCAGAGGTCGTCGACTGACCAACAGTCCGCCTGCCATGTATGGTTGCCCCGTAATGATCGCTAACAAACCACAAGCTGGCTGCGTTTGGACATTCTGGCCATCAAAATCATAGCGCGCGCAATGTCATTGTGATAGATATCTGCAAAAAATTAAATGCTCGTTTATTGATTAATTGAGAGCCTTTTTCCGACTTTGTTTTGTTTTACGCAAGTTTCAGCGTAATATAATTCGTGGAATTAGCATAGAACGCTTCACAAGTTCTTTGTTTGAGCCCTCTGACCGCCTCTCTGTCCCCAGTGTTTGAGAACCGCGAGAAGATGGTGCTGGTGATGGAGTACGCGGCGGGTGGCGAGCTGTACGACTACCTGAGCGAGCGCAAGGTGCTCAGCGAGCCCGAGGCCCGCAGAGTGTTCCGCCAGGTGGCCACGGCCTGCTACTACTGCCACAAGGTCTGCTCCTGACGCGCCGCTGCAACGCTGCATTTACGCGCTGGGCTGAGGCACGGGGCGGGGCGTTGTGTCGGGCACTTATGAAGGTGGTTGGAGGGGTTGGGGGACCATAAACCGTGGTGACACGGTGTATCATTCGGGTGCAGCATAACTATTCGAGTTACTTTACGATGCATTCAAACAGCCATTGAGCGTCGCGACCTCTGGCCCCGATTATGACGTGGACGACGAAACACCGGACCGACAGCCGAGCTTGGTCGGGAACGAGCACAATGCCGGAAGACGCTTTGAAGCCTCATGGTGTACTGACTCAGGTGATCACCGGTAGCAAAGACGACCCATCTGCAAGGTTCCCGCCCTGTGTGATCTAGACTGGACTGATCTCCACCCAACTGTAATTTCGACTGTGCCTGAGAACGCGCGACGTTCTGTTCCGCAGCACAAGATCTGCCACAGGGACCTGAAGCTGGAGAACATCCTGCTAGACGAGTACGGCAACGCCAAGGTCAGCTCCCAGGCGACCCCAGCCGCCAGGATGGCGATTTGAGTGGCGATTCCTCAGTCCGAATCAATTAACGCGTCACTTGGCTACGTGAACAAATGGCTGTCGGTCCAGCTCTCACCTTGCAGCGTCACTGATGATTGGTGAGAAGGACACCATTGGTACTGTTGGGTTGGGGCTTATGTGCCGTTTGGAGTAAGCGTTTCGTCGCTTTGTATCCTATATCACAAAATTCCGCACTCCTACATCTCCTACGCCACATCTTCACATGCCCCGTGCCATCTTATCTGCCTTCAACCGACCGTGAAGCTTGCGTTCTCATTCATCAACTCTACGAGCTTCCACCTACCCCACGCCTTGCGAACCCCAGTACTTCAGCAATCCTTCAGATCACCGACATCTCATCCCCACTCCTACAGATCACAGGTCAATCCCAGGTCTCGATCGATCCCATATCCTATCCCATCCATCTTCCCCATCTGCTCCTCACCCGGTCTCTCTGTCCAGGCCAACAGCGCTGACCTGGCGCCAGGCCTTCTCCAACGGCGCCCCACGCGCGCCTGAAACCCCCCCCCCCCCCCCTCCACCCGTCTCCACGCCTCCACCCAGCCCACTCCATCGGCACCTCACATCATCTCCGATGCCCCTCACATCCGCCCCGCCCCAGATCGCCGACTTCGGGCTCAGCAACGTGTTCGACGAGAAGAGCCAGCTGGCGACGTTCTGCGGCTCGCCGCTCTACGCGTCGCCGGAGATCGTGCGCGGCACCCCGTACATCGGGCCAGAGGTCGACTGCTGGTCACTCGGCGTGCTGCTCTACACGCTCGTCTACGGCGCCATGCCCTTCGACGGCTCCAACTTCAAGAAGCTCGTCAAGCAGATCACCACCGGCGACTACTACGAGCCGAAAAAGCCCTCGCGTGAGTAGCTGGAGTTGCTGAAGTAGTCAGAGTCGGCGAGGCTGAAGTGGGGCTGAGGTGGTCAGAGTGCTCAGCGGCGACTTGTTGGCGATCGATGGCGCCGGGCTGTTTCCTGCTGTTGGTGAGGTCCTGCCTGCGCCATCGATCCTGGCTGTGCCTGTCTGTGCCGTCGCGAATTGCCACCCTCGCGCCTCCCACATTGTCAGGTAGAGTGTCGGCAGTGGCGCCATGGACGTCAGACTTGCCGCATGCGTACGGACCAACCACATTCGCGCCGCTGTCCTGCGCATGCGCTGACGCGCCACGTATGCGTTGACGTGCCGTGCGCGTGCTGACGTGCGGCGCACGCGGCCGGTGTTGCAGCGGCCTCTGAGCTGATCAGCGGCCTGCTGACGGTGGGCGCCGACCGACGCTCCACGATCGCCGACATCTGCAGCCATTGGTGGGTCAACAAGGGCAGCGACGCCTGCTGCCTGCGTGTGGCCGAGGAGCTGGCCAGCCAGACGCCCGTCCGGCTGGACCTGCTGCTGTCGCTGGCGCCGCAGAGCAGCGACAAGGAGCACATGCTCACGCCCGGCGACGTCGAGGTGAGCGGGCGTCGGCGCGTGCGCGCGCCCCGGGCGTACACGCGGCCGCCCGGCCAGGCTCTGTGTCGGACGACGAAGGGATGGAATGCAACTTGTAATGCGCGTGATCTGTGTGGTATCTTGGGGGGGGGGGGACAAACATTTAATCTAACACTTAATCTAACCATGTGGTGTGTCTGTAGCTCTGGTGATGACAAAGTTCGTGGTAATTTATGTGGCAACTGAAAGCGGACAACTTCAAGTTAAACTGGATACCCATCTAAGGGCTATGATCATCCGAATGATCGCATCCTATGTCCCGAAAAAAAAAACAGATCTTCAAAGTTTGCCTTCAAGTGATGACAATCAATAATGAGCTAGTGATGTCTGTCGCTACTATTTTGGACCCCTAAGCGTCCAGCCGGTGCCGTTCTCCTGCGCCGGTGACCCGATGCGCCCCACCGTCAGATGGTCGAGTCGCCGCGGCCGGACCGTAAGAAGCGAGACCGGCCGGACGCGGACGGGTTCGCGGCGTCCCGCTCCCGCTCGCTGGGCAGCCTGATGGAGGTGGAGCCGGCGACGGCGGTCCCCGTCCCCAGCCCCGGCTCGCCGGGAGGCCGCGCTCGCGCCGCCGTCGCCGGCGCCGACGCCGCGCCCAAGCGTGCTCTGGAGGAGGACGACGAGTCGGAGCGCAGCAGGCGGACGGAGAAGCCGGAGAAGGAGCGGACCCGCAAGAAGGACGGCGAGAGGACGCTGAAGCGGAAGAAGAAGCGTGCCGAGGCGGCGAGCGCCGAGATGCCGGGGTCCGGGGTGGCGGCGGCCATCGCCCCGTCCGCGGACAGCACCTCGCGCGAGGAAAGAGTGACGGAGCCTGTCCACATGGGGGCGGGGGCAGTGAGCAGGGTGGCCGAGCCCGTGGACACAGTGGCAGAGCCCGTGGATAAAGTGACGGGGCCAGGGGACAGAGTGACTGTGACAGAGGACAGAGTGGCGGAGTCGGCCGCGTCTCGGTCGTGGTCGAAGTCGCGCAGTGAGGCGAGAACTTCGGAGCCGGCAGCCAGCTCCGCTGCCGGACTGAGCGCGCTCCCCGCCTCCCCGGTCAGGTCGGCACCGCCGTCACCGGGCGCGCGGGAGAGCTCGGCGCCCGATCAGCCGCGGTCACCGGCCGCGGCGGCGCCTCGGTCACCGACGCAGCTGCAGCCGATGTCACCGACGCAGCTGCGGCCGACGTCACCGACGCAGCTGCGGCCGACGTCACCGACGCAACTGCGGCCGACGTCACCGACGCAACTGCGGCCGACGTCACCAACGCAACTGCGGCCGACGCCACCAACGCAACTGCAGCCGACGTCACCGACGACAGGACGCCCCAGGTCGCCCGCGGCCGCCACTCCGAAGTCACTGACTCCAACGGCGGCGCGGTCGCCGGTGCTGACGCCGACCAGGTCAAGGTCGCCGACGTTAACGCCGACCCGACCCCGGTCACCGGCGCCGTCACCAGTGCCAGAGGCTCCCAGCCCAGCCCGGCTGGTGGAGGCGGTGGGGCAGATCTCGCCCGGCCCGCCGCCGCCGGGTGCGGCGCAGGCCGGATCCCCGGCAGCCCCGGAGGCGACGCCGGCGGACGCCAGGCCAGCCGCGCCGCCGGAGCCCAGCCGTAGCGGCGCCGCCTCGGCGGGAGGCGGCGCCCCTGCGACGACGAGTCCGTCCGACCGGCCGCCGCCGGAGCTCCTCGTGAAGAAGCCGTCAGACGCTGCCGTGGCTGAGCAGCCGGCGGCGGTCGGTGGCTGCGCACAGTCCGCTGAGCCGGCCGAGGCGGCCGGCCGGCCCGGCGACGCCCAGCTGCTGGCGGCGCCGACCGACCAGCCGCAGCCGCGACGTATGTCGGCTGAGAGCGCCAGCAGCAAGGCGTCCAACGGCAGCGACGGTCTCACCCGGCGCAACTCAAAGATCTACAAGGCGGCCGCCATGTGGGATAACATGATCGCGCCCCCGGAGCCGGCCGTGAAGACGCTGGAGAGGCCCAAGAAGGTCATCAGAGACTCGTTGAAGCTGGAGCCCAAACCCAAGCCGGAGCCCAAGCCGGAGGAGAAGAAGCCCGTCATTAGCCTGTTTACTGGCATTAAGGTATTGGATGCTAAAAGGGCGTTCGAGTCGAAGCCGAAGGAAGCGTTAAAGGCGGTCCCTTTGCGGAAGGGAACTCAAGCCAAAAGTGTGATACTCCAGGATGCAGGTGGGCCTATTCCAATGAAGGACATCACGGGTCGTGTGTATGCTTCTAAAAGCTCTGGTACTGTGCTGAAGCAGGATGTTAAAGTGAAGACGAAGAAGTCAAAGACAAAGGAAAATGGGACTGAGGAACTTGGCAGACCCGAAACCAAGATCAATGGTGATCAGTCCCCTAAGAAGGAAAAATCCCCCGCGAAGAGTAGTGAAAAGGCATCGGTGAAGTTTGCCGGCACCAAAACGCCAGATAGTGTTGCAAATTCCCCAAATGTGGTGAACGTTGAAAAATCTCCAGATGCAACTGGCGCTGTAAAATCACCGGACCCTCCAAAAATGGAGGCTGGGGATCAGTCCACGCTGTCCTTGGCACCGGAGAAAAAGGTATTGAAAAGGAAGATCAAGAAGGAACGTCCGTCTCCAACTGAGTCTTCTGCCAGCGCAGAAAATAAAACCGCCTCCGAACGTAAGGGGGCGTCGGGCGAAGAGGTCGCAGCTCAAATAGGTGAGATGGTCAGTGCTATTCGTGAGGTGGGCGAGGCCATTTCACAAAAAGAAAGTGAAATCAAGAAAAACGAAGAAGATATCGCTAAAAAGGTAACAGAACCCCTGGCAGACAAGGAAATACTGGGAGGACCCAAGAAACCGAAAACGGCGCTCGGCACTGAACAAGATGGGTCAAAAGATCTTTTTTCGCGACCAAAGAAACCGGTGTCGGCCATTGATCAAAGAAAAATGCCTGGTCAAGAGCCTGCAGCGGCTCAGAAGCTGCCGAACGTGGCAGCCGTTGAGACCACGTCCGAGCAGAAACAGCCCAAGCTGCCAGCTCACGAATCCCCTGCTCGAAAGCAGCCCCAGGCCACGGAACCCGCGCCCGAACAGAAGCAACCCAAAACACCGAGTACTCAGGGCCATGTGGAGCAGAAGCGGCCGCAGCCGTGCGTCCCCGGGGCTGCTCCAGAGGACAGCCGAGCTCCCAGGGAGAAGCCGGCGAAGCCGCGGCCGACGCTGGTGATTCCCGAGAGGCGGCCCTCGGCCGCGGAGCCGCCGGTGGCCGCCGCCCAGACGGCGCCGGCCGACTGGGCCGGGCCGGCCGCACGGTCTCAGGCCGCCACGCTCGCGCCCAGGGAGATGGAGTCGCAGGACACGCTCAAGAAGATCTTCCGCCACGCCGAGGAGAAGGACACCGCTCTCGGAACTGAGAACAGCTTCCTTAAGGACGTGGTGTCGCGGCGCCGAAAGTCCGACGCCGAAGAGCGGCCCAAGTACGCCACGCTGCCGGCCAAGAAGAAGACGGAGCTGCGTGTGCTGCTGGGCCAGGATGAGGCGCACGGCCGCCGGCCCGAGTACCGCTCCGAGGTGGAGGCGGCCGTCAACACGCCGAGCACCACACGGCGCACCGAGGTCACCTTCCCGGTGGCGGCGCCCGACCGCGCGCACAGCCTGCCGCCGCAGCGCGCCGGCAGCCGCGAACACGTGATCCGCATCAGCATGGACGGCGGCGAGCCGGCGGCCGAGGCGGCGCCATCATTGCCGGCACAGCGGCCCGAGCCGGCGCGGCGGCCGGCCAAGTCGGTCCGCCACGCGGCCTCGCTGCAGTCGCTGCCCGAGCGGCAGCGGCTGGCCGGCGACGACGGCATGCGCCAGGCGGTGCTGCGCTCGCTGCCGCGCGCCAGACCGCAGCTCTCCGTGCCGGCCGGCAGCGTCACCTCGCCGCCGCCCGAGCCCATCCGCAAGTCCCCGCGCGAGTTCATCATCCCGATCGCGCTGGAGGGCGGCGGCACGGTGACGCCGCCGGTGCGCGCCGCCTCGGAGGAGGCCGAGGCCGCCCAGGGGCCCGGCCTGTTCCGCTCGCAGCGGCTCTCCGGACACCGCAGGATGGGGTGAGTGTACCGCGCCGGCCGCGGCAGACGGGGTGCCCGGCGCCAGCGCTGGCGTCGGCCTGGCCCTCGGTCTCCCAGGATGCACGAGGTCTTGTGACTTGCCTCGTTCAGCTAACGCCACTGGCCCCACCCGTTGGCCGTTGCTGTAAATAGCACGGTTACGTTTAAATCGACTGCCCTGTGCGTGCCTGTATGTGATAAACTGCACGCCCGTCACCTCTGCACCAACACCTCTCGCTCACCTGCATTGATGACGTCACCAGACCAGGCCAGGCTGTTGATGGTCCCGGCGCTCGTCGCCGCTGGTTGAGACAAATCGGCACATTCCACCAGCGCGATCAGTACGAATTCCGCCTCCATTAGGTGGTGCTTATGGCTTCGGTTGGAAGCGCCACGCGTCCCTGGCGAAGCGGCGTGTTCGTAATCACGTCCAGCCTGAGGGAACGGCGTAGGCCGTGTGACGACTGGTCCCAGCCCTCATCTCACCCGGCCTGGTCTGGCCCCGCCCTCTCGATCGCACGTCCGCCGCACTCGCGCCAGCTCACTGCACCGACCCAGCCGTGGGCACGGGCACCCGGTGCTACCCACTGGTGGGTATCCAGTGTTGGTGGGTACGGCGGCTGCCGCTGGCGGCTCGCCGGCGTCGGTCGGTAGCCGAGCGCTCCCTCCGCGCGGACGCTGTGACTAACGTGGCGCCCACCGGCCGCGGCCGCCGCAGAAGCCTGCTGGCCGCCGCCGACGAGGAGCAGCTGGCGGCGCCGGCCGGCCTGCAGAAGCTGAGCTCCCGGCGCGGCCTGGACAGTAGCATGGGCCTGACGCTGCCCGGCTGGAGCGGCAAACCAGCCAGGTACAGCGCCGGCGGCGGCTGCACCCCGCCCGCTGCGGCGTCACCAGCTGGGCTGTGCAGGAGCCAGCCGCCACACCGACACGCGGCGCTCGGCTGGATGGTCATCCGGGGCTTCACCACCTGGCACACCGCTCCTCAAGCCTCGCCCCAGGAATAACACTAGCCGGTAGCCAGAGAAGTATACTTTTCTGCGTGACCTGGCTTAGCGCACGATCGGGCGCAAGGTCACCCGGGGTCAGCGCAAATGGTCTGAGCGGTGCTCGCGGGAATATGTGTAAGGCGCGCGCGACAGTCTGGCATCACCTAAGACGAGCTTTTTTAGAACTCCCGTAAGACCCGATGTCATCAACGCAACATGACGAAGCATGTCAGGTTATGCCTACCAGAAGGTTATGAGTGAGAACCGTTTGTTTGTACCCTGCTGCTTTTGATTGGGCTGAATAACCGATGAAGCGGCCGCAAAACCTGCATGCAAATAAGCATTCATGTTTCTCTGGGTACGGTACGTTATTTGCCTGAAAGGTTGGCTGTCTGTGCACTTTGTTTACTGCCAGCATGCAGCACACACGTTACAAGACGAACTCCGCCGTCAGAGCTGTGCGCGGCGAGCTATCTGTGACAGTTGGGAATAGTTGTACGGCTTAAGCGATGTCGGTGCAAGATATGCCATCATAGTCTGAAATGCTAGGCTGGACACTTGTATCTAGATAACGTATTTGCCTTAAGCGCCGTTTCGTGATACGTACACGGGATGTGATGCCCAAATGGTCAGCAGTCAAACGATGTTAGGGCCATCTGAGTGAGGCAATCATATGAGATGGACAGGGTCTAACCGCTCGGTTTGCTCTGGCGTAGGCTTTCAAGATACACTAATTTGAGCTACAGCCTATATCCGGATTACTGTATCTTGACAACACACCCCAGAATAATACACATTTCACTAATGACATAACTCATGTAAGGGTTGTCCTGGGTCGTCCGCATGGTGTTGCATAACACGTTCCGTTTCATCGATGATTACGTCACCGTAGGCGACGCAGTACCATTCAGTAAATCCGTCCCAAAGCGGGAATCCCTAGCTGATGGGCGCTCCTGTGTCCAGCTGCTGGTGCAGCGTCACCCCAAAAGTTGACCCGCTGCTCCTACTCGCCGACATTGGTGTGGGGGAAAGAGCCTTCACACTATCGGTTGCAATAACAGGTCAACGAGTTACACGATTTGGGCAAACGGTTTCGTGTTGGGCGCTAACGCGTAACATTGCGGCTGTGCGTGCAGTGTCGATCTGTGATGGCGTCTGGATGCGGTTGTCGTCGCACCCTCCATCCATGCGGTGTGTGGTCGCCGCGGCGCCCGCTCTTCGCTTGCTGCAGTGGCCGAGGCACACTTCCAGCACATCCCTCGTGTGCGGCAGGATGTCGCGTCCTCGGACCGGCTTCTCGGTGGAGCGCTCGGACAGCTTCAGCTCGGCGGGCGAGGACGAGGAGGACGAGGACCAGTTTGAGATCCTGACGGCCGAGTCACTCTTCACCACCCTGCTCGACCGCGTGCGCAACCTCACGCGCCGCGTCAGCACCGAGGACTCGCCGCTCAAGGTACGTCCCCTGAGCCACCGAGGACTCGCCGCTCAAGGTACGTCCCCCAGCCACCGAGGTCTCGCCGCTTCAGGTACGTCCCCGACCACCGGGGTCTCGCCACTCAACGTGCGTCCCTCGGACACCGAGGTCTCGCTGCTCAAGGTACGTCCCCGGTCACTGAGGTGCCGCCGCTCAAGGTACGTCCCCGACCACTGAGGTCTCACCGCAGGTACGTACCCGACCACCGAGGTCTCACCGCAGATACATCCTCCGGCCACTGAGGTCTCGCCGCTCAAGGTACGTCCCCCAGCCACCGAGGTCTCGCCGCTCAAAGCACGTCCCCGACCACCGAGGTCTCACCGCTCAAGGTACGTCCCCCAGCCACCGAGGTCTCACCGCTCAAGGTACGTCCCTTGACCACCGAGGTCTCGCCGCAGGTACGTCCTCCGGCCACTGAGGTTTCGCCGCACCATACGCTTGCTGAACAGTCGCACCCAGCCTTTGGGCGGTGCGGAGGTGTCACGTGTACACGCGACACCAGATCGGTGCGACGGACGTGGCGGTCCCGTCACGGCGCCGCACGCCTCACGCGTCTGCTCTGGTTTTCAGCGGACCATGCAGCTGGCCAACCAGGCGCCAGGTTCCGGCGAGCGGCCGCCCCAAGAGCAGCAGCCCAGCATCTGGGGCGTGCACGCACCCATGCGCTCCCTATTCGACCAGCCGCTAGGCTTCCCCCGCACCTCGCTGTTCGAGCAGCCGCCGGCCCGCTCCAGGTGAGCCCGCGCCGAGGCGCCATCTCTTCGGGGGAGGGGGGGGGGGGGGTGGCGGCTCTGGTGCGGGGTCCGTGGCTAAGTCAGACACAACAATTGGCGAAGATCCAGTAAGGGAGGGGTAGGGGAGGGGGGGGGGGGCGGCACGCTCTGTCGCTCTGCACAGAAAGCCGCCAGTTGGCGAAGGGAGCGATGCCACTGGCATAAGGTCACGGGCCACATTCAGTCCCAGCATGTAGTCTGTCTGCCCATAAATAACCTCGCAGGTGCGTTGCCGGCGCTTTAGTGAACTATGTACGTGTTTTGTTTCATGCATGTTGTCAAAACCAGTCATCATGTTCTGATATTTTTACAGCTAAGCTATAGGCACAGCCGTTTGATTCAGTGTATTGCAAACGTCTGACAATGTCAATCCTCTCCTCCATGCTGCCTAGCTTTCATTCCTTCCAGTGTTTTCAGTAAGTAGTCCGTTGCATGCGGCATGTGAATATGTGACTGTTCTTCGGGGTTGGTGTACGGCTGGTGGCTGCATTCGAATTGTTAGCATTGTACATGACGAAGTCGCGGATCCCAACTGACGCGTTTGTTTCATATAAGACCATTTAAAAGAAGTTAAGTTCCATTAGCAACATGCCTGCTAAAAAAACATCGCAATCTGCGAGTTTCATGCTATATATATATATATATATATATATATATATATATATATATATATATATATATATCAAAGCGCAATATTTTCATGACGTAGAATATGTGGGTTAGCCGATACCGTTTAAGTTTAGTTTCCGCACCGACCACCTCCCGCTCGCCCCAGTTCATCATAACGCTACTCATTACAAGTGTGCCAGGGCGGGGGCGCCATAGACACTCGACCCGCTCCACCGGTCGCACCGCGTCTCTTTCCACTAACCGCTACTGGTCTGGGCAGCTGGGACACCTGTCCGGTGCCAGCCCGTGGCCGGTGTGGTGCCGCCGCCGTGACCCTCCCAGGACTTCGGCCCGTGACCCTCCCAGGACTTCGGCCCGTGACCCTCCCAGGACTTCCCCATGACCCCCCCAGGACTTCCCCATGACCCTCGCAGGGCTGCCCTATGTGACCCTCCCACGACTCCCAATGACCCTCTCAGGACTTTTCCACGACCTCTCAGGACTTCCCCATGACCTCTTCCGTATCGTCACCGTCATCTCTCCGTGGCTGCTGTGAACCGATCCACACCGCCGTGACATATCCCACGCCGCCATCGCCTCGCGGACCGTACCTCGGCCGTGACCTGCTCGTCGCCCCCAGGCAGTCGTCGGTGGGCTCGCCGCGGCCGGAGGCGGGCGGTGGGCCGACACCGGAGGCCGACAGCTCGCCGGCGCCGGCCTGGCGCCGCTCGCGCTCGCGGGAGGACGCCTTCTCCACGCTGCCCAGCAGTGAGTGGCTGCCGGCCGGCCGGCGCCTGCTGTGTGCTGTGCCTCGGCGCCCGCCGGAGGGTCTGACATGGTACAAACTACAGACAGATACGGGTCAACCGGAGGGTGCTCGCTCCGTAGACCAAGGAGGCACGGATCATAGAAGAGGAGGCATTTTTTTATCTCGATTCAAACACAATTCATTACTGCTAAGCGGTGATGCAGGCTCCTAAGGTATGCTTCAGAACATGGTACCATCTCTATGTGATTTATGGGGCGATGTGCAAGCCTGTTGCATGCTAGTGGCCGGTCAAAACCCATCTGTTTAATGACATGGCTGGCAGCATCAGTTACCTCTGGAAATCGTTAAGTATCTCTCAAAGATGAGAAACACAAGTGAAAACGGGAAAGAAATCATTAGCCTACGTATTTGGGGATCGCTTTTCTTCTTTTCTTGACCGTCTTAAGACATTCTGTGGTTGACCCAGTATCTGGTCGTTTTCTCGCTGACGATACGTTTACAAAACAGTCAGCCAATGGCCTTTCAATTACCGGTATTTAAAGGCCTTGGAAGACGATTTTAGGTAATTGAAAGGCAAAATTAACTGCACGAAACTGTTGCAATGTATTCAGTTAAGCCCAACTGAAAAAAATATGCTGTACCACTGAGCATCGAGTGGCGCCGTCGTCGAGGACGCAAAATAGCCGCCACACTAAAGGCACGTTACCGACATGCATGCCAATAACGCAAGATAAAGGCCTATAGAGCCCGCGCACCCAGCGTCAGCTCGCTCGTCTGGCCACCATGGCCCACTCCGTGGCTGGACACGGTCTGGTGTGGTCTGTTACAGCCGGCGCCGTGAGGCGGCGCCACCGGCGCCCGCCGTCGGACAGTCAGTAGGCCAGCGTCTGTACGTCCGCCACTAACCCGCCTCGCATGCCCGCCGCCCGGCCGTGCCCGGTCAACGAGCCCTGCTCACGCTGCTCACCGCGTCCGGCGCCGGCAGCACCAGCACCAGACACCGCCACGTTATGAGCACCCACCTCGCCACCAGACCCACGCTCCGTCAGCGCCACACACTGCTGGCACCATTCACTGTCATCATCGCATACTGTCAGCACCACGCACCGCCATCATCACATATTGCTAGCACCTCATGCTGCCAGCACCACGTACTGCCCGCACGACATATCGCCAGCACCATACACTACCAGCAGCACACTCTTCCAGCACCATGCACTGTCCACACCACATACCGCCTACCGCTCCACGACTCAATGTTCGTCACTGGGCTGGCCTATGGACCATTGACGTCACTTCCCCGAGCACGGCCGGTGGCTCTGACGTCCCCGGGCATGAGCGAGCGGCCTCTGTGTGTGCTCTAGGGTGACTAACACAACGCGTCCGGCCCGCTCTGTTCCCAGGGCAGCACCACTAGTTCTGGAGAGCTTCGTTTGACAATGAATTCTGACCGTTCGCTGCTTCTGCTTTGAAGGTATTTTTGCACGTAATGTTCTCCGTTAGACTCCTGAGGCGACATGCTAGCTTCGGGAACCAGTGCTGCGCGCCGAGCCTCGCAGTAGCCTTCGTGCGATGGTGGAGTGGCAAGCATGGTTAGACAGCTGCAAATGTGGAGACATTGTTAAATATGGTCATACCAAGCAGCGTTTGTATGCAAGTGCTCATAAGCATGCTGTACATTTGTCAGCTCATCTGGGCTATTGGCTGGTTAGTCTATGGGGCTTTGACATCAACAGTGGTATTGCATGCTTTCGGAAGTGTGTTGCACTTTTGTTGCGTGTTGTCATTGCCGCTCGTATGCGCAGATTACCGGAGACGAGGCCAGTGCTTCGAGGCCGACGACGACCCGGCCAACTACACGAGGAGCCTGCCGCGGAGGTACACAGCCCGCGCGCCCTCCAAGGACCTGCCCAGCATCAGCGACGAGGAGCCGACCGAGCCCAGCCGGCCAGCGCCGCAACCGTACCCTCGCCAGCAGGCGCAGCCGCAGCAGCCGCAGCAGCCGCAACCGCAGCAGCAGCAGCGGCAGCCTCAGCAGCAGCAGCCGCTATCGCCGGAGCCGCTCGCACGGCCGCGCAAGTTCCTAGCCTACAAGAAGTCGTCGACGGCCGACTCACCGCTGGGCGGGTCGGAGGAGAGGGGCGCGAGCGCCGAGCGGGCCGGCTCGGCGCGCGACTTCATCAGCCGCTTCCTGCGCCAGGACCCGGCGCTGGGCCGGCCGGCGGCGGCCGCGGCGCCGGAGCCGCCGGCCTACCGCGTCTACACGCGCACCTCGAGCCGCGAGTACACGCCGCCGCCGGACGCGGCCAGCGAGCCGCCCAAGGTGGCGTGGCGGCCGCGTAGTCTGCACGACGCGTACCGGCCGCCGGGGGAAGCTGAAGGGCGGGACGGCGGGCGATCAGCGACCAGCCAGGAGCCGGCGGCCGGACCAGCGGGCCGCCGCTCCCTGATCGACACTCCCCCCGGCGGGCGGCGCGGAGAGCAGGAGGGTGAGGCCGGGCGGCCGCGGCCGGCGCCCGACGAGCGGCGCCGCGCCATCGGCCGCACGCTCAGCTTGCGGATACCCGAGCCGCTCCGAGACGGCGGCGGCGGCGGCGGCGGGAGCGCGGCGCGTGCGCGCAGTCAGAGTCGCGACGGCGGCACGCCGCCAGACGAGGCCCGGCTGCCAGCGGGTCGCACCCGCCGCTCTTCCTCGACACTTGTGTCCGACACCGAGCGGCGCTCCCTCTCGCCGCTCGCCGCGCCGGACGCGGCCGGCGGCGACGAGGGCGACCGCACGCCCGTGTCCAGCCCCCAGGCGCGCAGGCGCCAGCCGGAGAGGGCGGCGCGCCGGGCGGCGGCGACCGACCGCGCGCGGGACGAACACCGCACCAGCCCGCGGCACCACCGCCGCTCCGACCCGCCGGACGAGCACCGCAGCGCCCGAGACGACCATCACCACGGCTTGCGAGGCGGCGACCGCCACTCCAGCCGCCGCCTCAGCGCCGAGCCGGCAGGCCCGGGCGACGACTACCGCTCCAGCGCCCGGTGCCTGAGTCCCCGCGGCGACCACCGCTCCGAATTCCGCTCCGGGCCGCTGGACGACTACCGCGGCAGCCCGGGGCCGCTCAGCCCGCGATACAGCTACCCGGACAGCTATCGCTTCAGCTCGCCGTTCATTCGCAGCTCAGAGCGCAGCGTGCAGAGCGCGCTCAAGGACATCCGACAGAAGCGCGAGGCGGGTGGCGGCGCCCTGTCCCCCCCGCCGGCGACGGAGCCGGTCCCCAAGCCGCTGGAGTCGGAGGCGGATGCAAGTGAGTTCGATGTCAGAACTAAAGGTGCAGAAGACAGCGTCGAGGCGCCACCAGCGGAGGAGAGCGTCGCGCGCCGCGGGCCGCCCGGCGCCGACGGGGACAAGGCGCCCGGGCCGATGAAGAGGCTCGACAAGCAGCAAGAGCGAAGCGTATTCGACGAGATTTCTAGGAAAACGGCAAAGCTCCTCAACCTCGACAGAGGAAAAGACGAGGACTCGAAGACCATGTCAGACAAAAGGTCGGAGCCCGACGACGCGAAGGAGAAGAAAACGACTCTCACGCAAAAGCTGAGCCGAATACCGAGCCTGATCCGGCGGGCCGGGTCGCGCTCCGAGGTCAAGGCCGAGGCGGAGGGCGCCGAAGTCCGAGACGCCCCACGTCCCGCCCAGCTGACGTTGCCGGGCAGCGCCGTGGAGAACCAGCCGCCGCGTCCGATCAACCCGGACCTGCTACGGGACGCGTTCAGTCACTACCCGAGCTCGGAGCAGGCGCCGCCGGCCAGCCCGGGCAGCCCAACCAGTCCGCGGCCCAGCTCCCGACGCGTGTCACTCAAGTTCTTTGAGGAGCGCGACAAGACCGAGTGCGGCTCGCCGACGCTCAAGGAGCCGCCGCGCGAGCTGAATATCGTGCGGCGCGGCAGCAGCGTGCGCTCGGTGGTCAACAAGCTGCAGCAGAGCGCGTCCGGCGAGGGCCAGGCCGCCGCCGCCGCTGCGCCCGAACCCCAGGTGTTCCGCAACATCGCCGGCCAGATCATCCACCTGGCGCCGGGCGGCGGCGAGGTGTCGCGCGCCCGCTCGCCGCGCCGCCGCAGCGCCAGTCGCGAGCGCCAGCCGAGCCGGTGTCGCTCCTCCAGCCGGGAGGCAGGCGCCGCGCCCGACCAGCCCACCAAGCGGCGGCCGCAGCTGGCGCGGCTCTGCCTGGACGGCGCCGTCGCCAGCAGCGAGGAGGAGCTGCAGAACGGGCCGACGGTGAACGGCGCCGCGGAGACGCGCCACCACAACGGCGATGGCGGCCGGCGGCCCGAGCCGCGCGCGCCCGGGCCGGCCGACCCGGCGCCCGCCGAGAACGGCGTTGGCGCCGAGGCGAGGCGGCGCCGGCTCGGCCAGCCGCTCAGCGCCGACGCGGACGCCGCCTCGGAGACAACCGACACCGGCTCCGAGGTGAACGCCGCCGACGACGAGGAGGACTCGGTCAGCGACCGCATCCTGCGCAAGAGCTACTTCCCGCGCTTCAACGACCGGCGCCGCGACCGGTCGTCGAGTCGTGAGGTGCTCAGCCTCATCTACGACGAGCCGCCGGGCGAGCCGCGGCGCGCCGGCCGCCGCGAGCGCCGCGAGCGCGACGCCTCGCACGGCCGCTCGCTGCTCGCCGCCGATGGCACCGGCCGGCTGCGCTCGAGCAGCCGTGACCCGTCGGAGGCGTGCGCCGACGTCAGCCGCCACAGCAGCACCCTGCCCCGCCGTCTGAAGCTGTCTGGCAGTGGCGGCGGCGGCGGCTCGCCGGCCGACGAGCCCGCCGACGCGGTCGGCTCCAAGGAGACGCTCTCCTCCAGCAACGTCAGCCTGCGCTCGTCGCGCGAGTCGCTGCCGTCCGACCCGGCCGGCGAGCCGCGGCCAGCGCGGCTCTCCAGCATCGAGGAGGGCCGACGGCGGCGCACCGGCGACGCGCCGTACTTCCGCGCCGCCACCGCCCACGTGCCGAGCACGGCCGACTTCTACCGGCGGCACACGACGGCGCTGGGCCCGGCCGCTGCCGAGGCGGTCGCCGAGCGGCGCGCTTCCTCCCGGCTCTCCGTGCTCGGGGACCAGATCAAGCGGAACCTCGATTCGGTGACCAGCAACATCGAGAGCCTGAAGGAGGCTCGTAAGGCCCGTCACTCGACCGGCTCCACCAGCCAGCCGGCTCAGTCGCGCAGATACCCGAGGCAAGTGCGACCGGCGTGCCTGGCCTGACCCGCGCGCCGCCGCCTTGACGGGGCGACGTTCGGAGAGAGCGGTCGTGCATCACTCTGAAACTTTTTGAAATGTTCGGGTGGCCTGTTTTGCTAGCGAGTCCGTCCAGTTAACCGGGTCTGCCGGTAGCTCAGAGGAACTTATAGCGCCCGTTCAATTTTAAGCCCTGACCGTTTTATCCACTAGAGCCCGTCGTCCATAGACTCAGGACGTAGACGGTGACTAACGGTGTGCTGTTGTTTCGTTCTAGCGGCACCCGGCCTGCCGGTCCTGCGGCCCGGGTACGTGCGCCGAGTGACCAGCCCACTAACGCTCCGCCCTCTGTCTGACCTTGCAGGGGAGATAACCGCTGACTGGCGCTGTTGTGTTGCTCAGATACGGCTCGAGCGGCGCCGGCCTGGCGCTGGGCGCCAACGGGGCCGGCTGGCTGGGCGGCCGGCCCTCGTACGGGCAGCGTCTTACCTTCAGCTCGTCCGCCTGGCGCTACCTGTGAGCGCTCCGACCGCCGCCCGTGCCACGCTCCGGACAGGCGCCCGCCGGGCCGGCCAGCGCGCGCTGGCGAATCCTTGTTGAGACGGTCTGGGTGGTTGCTCACGGCGCATATATGGGCGTACTTGTGATGATGCGCGGCTTTCTGCGGGGTCTTTGGATGATCTCGTTCAGCGAAGGCACCACTACACGAGACGAGCCGGACAAATTTTTATACGCGTGTTGATCTGTTTGATTTGTTGCTATGTCCGTTGTTTTTGCAATAAAACGTGTTCTGGTTATAATGATTTGTAGATCACGAACCAAAACAAAACATGTATGCAGTAGAAGTCTGATCACGAACACATTAACCTCCTACCGAGGTCGCTGTGCCACCTGCGTAACATCTCCAATGATATTCTCTTCGTGGTTCAACTTGCAACCACAAGGACGTGGGCGGTTTCGTCTGGAAGTTTCGTGCTACGGAGCTTTTCGCTCAGTTTTACAACCGTGCACGCACAATGCAACGCACTACATGCTAAGTGTCGTAACAGACCTAGCCCTCCCGTACGTCTCGAGATCATCACATGGACCAACCAACATGGATGAGACAATAAAAAGCGTGAGACAATCACGTGTCTGCCAAACTATTTGTACTGTTGTACTGTATTGTCCAACCGTTTTTCACATTTCATGGAGACGCAGGTGTTACGGTCAGGCACTGAGTAGGAAAGCATTCGATAAATCTGCATAGCCGGAGCGGATTCATGACGGTTCACTAATAATTCCGGATATAACTGAGGCAACGCCTCGCGCATAGGATGGCGACCTGCTTTTCGCCGTGGCACGTGACCTTATGAAGTTTATGAACGCTACGCATGAACCTAACGTGACGTTTATGACCGTAACTACACCAGCACTACACTATGAAGCATGCAAACGGCAAATGGCCATTAAAAGCAGCAGAAGCCAGTTTTCGTGTAAACTGAGCAGCGGCGCGCACGCCCACCGTCCGTCACGAGCCTTGGAGACGCTGTCCAGCCGCACCCGGCGCATCACTCGCTGTCCGTCGACGAGTAGCCGGCCACCAGCGACAGCGCCGACGTCTGAGCACTGCCGGGAGCCGGGGCGGAGTCCGCTGCCGCCGCCCGTGTCGGTGCGGGGTGAGCACTCGGCGGCGGCTCCGGACCATCCGCGTCCGCCGCCGGTGCTGGGCTGCAGGTCGGCATCGGCCCGTCCGCCAGCGGCTCTGGTCCGCCTCCGGCCGCCGCGGACTCCATGAGAGGCGGCCGGTCCGGAACTCCAGCCGCCGCCGCCGCCGGTCCCGGGCGCCGCCGCACGGTCACACCGATCGAGGCGGCGATCCTGCCGGCCGGCGCCGCCTGGTTCGAGAAGCCGCCGCCGCTCGGCGCCACTGTGCCCAGCGCCGGCCGCGCGCTGATGGCGTCCCGCCGCCGTTTGCGCCGCTCCTCTAGACCTGGGGCAGAGGCGACCGGTCATATCTCCTGCCGCTGCCTTGTGCCCGGTCATATCGCGCTACGAGCCGATGCGGTGGCCAGGTGTGTTCGTGAACACGCCCAATTACCGCAAAACAGCCGCGTGAAACTGGACATCTTCAGGTCGGCAGCGAGATATGTATAAACACATGCCATCCCAGTACGCATTAGCAGATTGCGCCAGTAAGCACCGCCTGCTCATGTTTACAAAAATGGGCAGACGAGGACTGCCGCGTGCCACACCATAGTAACAAGCACAGCATTTATCGACTGTAATCTGATAAATATACAGATGACTGACTCAATCACACATCTTCAACAAAAAAGTGGAGATCATTACGAGTACAGAGTTTTTATGCCGACAGCTGTCGACGTTTAGTTTATCAGGAGGTACTGGTAAAATGGCGTCACGAAGTAGACAATGGTAATTTTACCAATGCTCGACGCTTCAAGCTGTGCTTATGATCACGAGGACAGGAAGTTCACCAAAAACACCTTTAAAAGAAAGACGCTTAGAGAATGCTTCCAATCTGTGCAGGCAATGCCACTAAATAAATATATATATGTATATATGCACACACACACGCGCGCACGCACGCACGCACGCACGCACGCACGCACACACACACACACACACACACACACACACACACACACACACACACACACAACACACACACACACACACACACACACACACACACACACACACACACACACACACACACACACACACACACACACACACACACACACACAAATAGAGCTCCAGCGCGAAAAAGCAAAACAAAAGCGAACAAAGAAAAGAGGACGAGAAAGAATGAAAAAAAAACAAAGAGCACAAGTCCTTTCTTGCTTGCAGGAAAAGGAAATTACTGTATCCCCAAAGACGACAAGCCATCCCGAACCCGCCGTGACGGCCAGGGCGCCCCAGTGCGTGAACAACTCCGTCTGAGTTCACTCCGGAACGGCCGCTTCGTCTCTGCGCACCATCAGCTAAACAAACGCCCGCTGGCCCCCGGAGCCGCGGCGACTGCACAAACACGCGACGGGCGCCCCACCAGGCGCGCGTGCCGGGCACATCTCCGCGGGGTGATGCAACCCCGGTGTCGGCACCAAGCGTCCGGCGCCGGACAACCGGCGCGTCTGCCGGCGCGCCGCCGTGTCAGGGATGCTCCGGACGGCGCACAGGGCAGTCTGGTTTGTGTTGACACAGCCCGGACCTCAAGGGCAAGGTCTGAGGGCCGGCAGCATTGTCTGGATCTCAGACGGTCTGGTCTCTGCCGGTAATGTCCGGACCCCACGAGTGTGCCGGCAGTACAAGATACGGTCTGAATACTGGCAGCACTGTCTGGATCTCAGGCGGTTTGGTCTCTATCGGTAATGTCCGGACCCCACGAGCGTGCCGGCAGTACCTCAAGGTACGGTCTGAGTGCTGGCAGCCCTGTCTGGATCTCAGACGGTCTGGCCTGGGGCTTGGTCATCACTGTCCAGGTCCAACGACTGCACTGTCCAGCCCTCAGGTGTCAGGTATGAGCACTGTCAGCCCTGTCCAGTCATCAGAGTCAATGTCCGAGTATTGCCGCCACTGTGCGGAGCTCAGAAGTCAGGCCTGGATTGTGTAAGCACCATCCAGACCTCAGGATTACCTTGTCAGAAATCTGGTGGTCTGATCTGAGGTCAGGTGTGCGTGGTGTGGGTGAAAATCAGGGGAAAATACCGCATTACAAGCACGGTAAGGCTGGATGACAAACGAACCCGTCACTCGGTAACACAGATCATAAGGTGACAATACAACCTCTGCCTTCTGATGAAAGTGTGGCAAGTTCAAGCCAGCTCTAATTGCAACCATGACAGTTAAATGGCACGATGTAACCATGTTAAATGGCGACGAGACACCAGGCAAAATGTGCCATAATATTTAATTTGCTGCGATGAAATTGTACACGGCCAACACACGACAACACGCCAGCCCACCCAAAGATTACGCAGGTTGAGACCGCGCCGACCTCAGGGACGTACGCGTGCCGCGTACGTGATCCGTTACGTCTATGCTAAATATGCATTTTCTCCTCATTTAGTACCAACGACGAAATCAAAACCCGACTTGTAGCGCGTACGCATAACACAAGCTGTAGCTACGTCATGGCTGGTGCCAGACGGTATCAAAAGCGGAGTGGAAGTGATACGACGACCGAGACATGCGCGATACAGAGCCGACGTACACAACATCAGACGGACGTCGACTTCCCATGTTTATCCATGCCAGCCGGTCTTGGAATCATCTGCCATCCAACTGCATGGGAATCAACTGATTGGCCGTCGGGGACGCCCACTCGCGTGAAGTCATTCGCCCATCTTCTTCCGAGCTGTACGAGACGTATACCAGGGACCAGCCACGTCTGAAGTGGCTTGGAGCCGCACGCGCAGCTCCGCCGCAGCGGCACACAGACGCTGTGGACAGACAGCCGCCCGACCGTCCGTAGTCACGACACACCGCCGTCTAGAGCAGGGACTGGCGTCCGGCCCTCGCAGCCTCCAAAACTGGCGCCCCTGACCCGCCCGACTACACGGTAAACTGTAGCCGGCGCGACCTTATTTCGCGCCGGAGCTTCCGCCGGAGAAGGTCATCGCTTCCAGCGCCCTATGGCCTCCCAGATCACCCGTGTCACATCCCTCGGCCGTCTGGTCTCTGACAGAACACGCGGACGACGGCCCAGTCCGTCGCACACCATCTACATGTGCGCAGTAATTGCCCTGCACCATACACGAGCGATGTTAAGGAGTCTGGCTGAACTCCAGCCCAGCCCTCAATACACACGGCCAATGGATCTGAGCATCGCAAGGACCCTTACACATGACGTATTGGATCAGCAGGAGGCCGCCAAGTGGATCCAAGCAACCACGTTCACGACCGGTGAGAACACCCACCGGCCTGCACATGTGTTGTACAATGTACAGGCATGGCACAAGACAAGGGAGAAGTTTTGCAAAATTAGCTGGAGGGGAGGGCTAAGCAGTAAAAATGATTAAAACTATCCGTACAAAGCGCCAATCAACGGGTCTCTACATATTTCGCCCTCATCCATCACGTGTCGAGGGAGCCTTAGTCGCAGGTTGGGAATGGGGTGGAATGGAGGGGGGGGGGGGGGGGTTGAGGGAGACTGAAGTCCCCTCCCCATACGAATAGGAAACTCTCCTCCTGACGTAAACATTGGGCACCCACCACGCGTCTGTTAATTTCAATGAGCCACACCCCTTAAAGGCCACGTCGCCGTCACTGGAACCTGTCGCCACCAGACGCCAGCTACCAGACGTGCCAAGGCGAAGGCGTCCGTGCCGGGCGCCGGCCCTGTTCGCAGGGAGTCTCAGGCCCCCCCCCCCCCCCCCCCCAGGACGAGGCGGCGGGCCGATCAGACCGCTCCCACCCCGGCGCTGGAGCGGCGCGCGCCCCGGGCGCCGTCCGTCCCACGGTCTGCGCCAAACCCACAGCGGCAAACATGTTTAGCCGACACCCGGGTCGGCACTATCATCCAGCCGGGACCGGCAGATACAGAGCGCGGCGGCCAGCGCTGTCACAGGCCGGTCCCGACAGTGGCGGCGACGACCGGTCGCACGCCACCGCCCGACCCGCAGCCGCGCGGCCTCGAGGCCGGTTGTAACCAGTCAGCGTCGCCGGCCGGCCCCCTGCTGGACCGCAGACACCACATCCGGGCGGGCACCACGGGCGAGGAGCCGGGCGCGGTCGGCTGGCGAAATCCGACGCCACCAGTAAGGACGGCGGCGGCAGCGGCGGCGGCGGCGCTCGGCCCGGAGCCCCAGAGCGGCGGAGATCTGCGCCAGACGCCGCCGGCCACCATTGCACGTCGGCAGGGCGCAGTGCGGCACGTGGCACGGCGGCGGCGCAAGCCTGGCTGCCGGCGCGCGTCACGTGGTCACACGACGGCGCAGGGAGACGCTGTCCAGGCGCCCCCCCCCCCCCCCCCGTGGCCCCTGGCGGCGGGCGGCGCCAGGCCGGCCGGCCAATCACTCATCAGCTGAGTATTGGCACAAGCAGCCGCGCCATCAAATGAAGCTCACACAAACTTGCAAAGTTTGCACAACGAAGTCTTCATAGCAGGTATTGATCTCGTTATCTTTAATCGATGTACCGCTTCGCTCACACAAACTTGCAAAGTTTGCACAACGAAGTCTTCATAGCATGTATTTATCTCGTTATCTTTAATCGATGTACCACTTCCCTCACATGACCACACGACACGTCAGCGGTCATGTTAGCGGCTTGGTGCAAAGTGCCGAATGTTACTGGAGTGGCGCACAGTTCTTGCACTGATGTTACTTGCCATTTTAGGACGTAGCGGCGCCAAAGTGCATTGTTGTCGCACTCCTTCACGCGATTTCAGCGAAGATCGCCGAAACATAGCACGCATAGCAAACGAAACATAGCAGAGTCATCAGTCTGAAATTCCCAGCCCCAGGTTGTAAGTCTGGCATTTTTTTGCTCAGCAGTGACCGTACTCAGTTTTTGCGCCATTGTATCTGGTACTGCAATGAAGTCTGCCTTTCTCATCAGCCAACCATCGATTGACCTGCGACGACGAGGGTGAGATGAAGAGGTGCTGTTCCGAAGTTAAACATCTTGTAATCCAGGCACACCAGAATTACATGCATACACTCGACGTCAACTGTTTGGGTTTATGGTCGAAAATAGTGTTCACTCAGCCCTGCAGCGATGATAGCATCCGTCAGAATGAGCGATCCCAGTGTGTCATCAGGCACGCTTGTATTTGGCTCTGGGTCAGGATAGCCTACCATTCCAGGCCTGACAGGAGTCACTTGTCCATTTTGCTGGAACTCCCGAGGTCTTTGGCAGACGCGGCACACCAGTATCTTTCCGACACGAAAACGGTACGACACCATCGTCGCCACTAGATCAAACGCAGCCTTCGGACCGCAAGCTACGCAGCAACATACCAGCCGTTTTTTTTTTTTTTTTTGGTGCCCAGGACAGACGCACGCGGACGGGACAAAAATACAAGGTTGAAGGGCGTGAGGCCTACAAATTGACCAGCACGGCTATCTTGCAGCGTCGTCGGCACAACATGCTGCGTAACTATCTTGTGCGGATTCACAGCCGAGAACAGATAGAAATCTGACCCATAAGGCGAGGAAACACATCTGCTGTCCTTTGAGCTCGCGCGAGCACGTGCTTTCCGATACCCTGACAGAGGGTTGCATCGAGCGAAATCAGCCAAATGTTTCTCTTCAGCACAGACCGTCTTGCAACTGATGTCTGCCCGTGCCTCGCCCGTGCCTCTGTGGGTGACACCGCCAGTACAGCAACGACGATATCTCCGTGCGACGCAGGCTTGGACCGGAGCCGATATCCGACTCCTTGTTAAACAACTTGCTCCCGCGGTCGGCGGCGCGCTTCTGGCGGCGGCGCGGTCCGGTCAGACCTGACCCAAGCCGGGCGAGCGGCCCGGGCAGCCGGCGGGGGCGCAGCGGCGTCGACCGCGCCGGGACAGGCCGGCGGCGGGCAGCCACGCCGCGCGCGGAGCCGCCGGACGCCGCCGGCGCGGTCCGCACCGCGGCCGAGCGGCGACCTCCCAGGAGCGCTGGAGGCGCCTCGTAGCGAATATCACATGCGGAATCCGGTGACGTGCGTCACGGAACCAACCACGTGTGGTACCTAAACAAACCAAGCAGCTAGCTCAGCTGCCTCAACACATCTGGGGCCAGAGATCAGCACCACAGACGCATCCAGAATGCCTGACGATTTGTACATGGTTGGAGCGAGGAATGCTCACCATGTACCACCGCTGCTGAACAAGAACTAAACGAACCCCGCACCCGGCTCGTGATTGTCAGCGACTATCGATTTCATGCCGAACGGTGATCCCGCGGACGGGCCCGTGGTCACGTCGACACGGCTGCCACTCACCCAGCGGGTCCTGCAGCCGCATGAGGGCGGCGAGCCGGCGGTCGTCCTCCGTCTCGGCGACGAGCGGCATGTCCAGCGAGGAGCGGCGCAGCAGGTCGGCGTCCTGGGCGGCCGCCTCCGCCGCCGCCCGCTTACCGGCCTGCGGCGGCCGACACACGGCTCCGCGTCACGTCACGGCTAGGAGGGGGGCTGTCGGGGGTGGGGGCTGTCCGGCGCTGGCGTGGCGGACAGGCGGACAGGCGGGCGTGGCCAGGGCCGCACGCGCCGCCGGACAACTGCGGCGTTCACCCGGTTTTGGATGGAACCTTGCCAGACAGACCGAGCACGACTTGCATCAGCTGGCGGATTTTGAGCGGTCAGTGAATCCGAGGCAAACACAGGTCGGCAGGCGTCAGCACGCTCCATCCCACACACACAGTCAGAAGTGGTCCCCGATCATGTCAGCGTGAAATACATCGGAGCGGAGTCGAAGCTCGTGATAGGAATCACCAGTTACGACAACTGAGGCTTAGGGACGTGCCGACGGCCAAGGTCATTTTACATCCTAACTGGTTAGCATCAAACCCTAGTAATCTGCAGCTTCGCATCGACTTCAAAGGATAGTCACAGCATTTGCTCGGCACGCGGCGATTGTGTCTTACCGGCGCATTGGTAACGCCTAACACAGGATGGGACATCCCGTCCCGGAATGGGCGCTTTTGGCACATAGCGCACTTGTTCTGAGCCGCCTGGCCGCAAAAGCATCTCCCTATCCGATGCGTTTCGATATACCCACAAACGTCGTCCGCAACAACATCCGCCAAAACAGGCGGTGTGCATTAACGGCACTGGTCGCTATCATCAAACCCTCTCAACGCCTCGCTGTTACAAACCCTGAACTTGTCCCTGAGGAATTTGTTGGCGGCGAAGTCGTCCCAAAGTCTGTCCTGGACGGCCTCCAGCCGCTGCAGCGCGGGCGTCGAGCTCTTCAGCTTGTCTACGTCGTCGGCGCCGTGCTCTAGCTTGAACATGGCATCGGTGGACAGTTTCTGGATCTTGGCCCGCTCGTCAGGCACCACGGTGCCGTTCTCGGCCGGGTCGAAGCGGCGCTCTTGGCGCCGGGCGCCCGACAACACCTCGTAGTCCAGGTTCTGACGACACGGACAAGCCGTTCACAAGCTGGTGGTGACGCCGAATCTCTCGAGTCCAGAAGCTACCCCGTGGGACGAGTTTCGGATCCTACACCAAAACGCCCAAGTTCTGAAGCGAATCGAGCGACGCTAAAAAAGTTCCGAGTTCTCACCGTACGATGTAATGTGGTGTATGTAGTCGTACGTCGTCCTAACGTTCAGGTCCTGGACACGCAGTGCGGCCGGCTTTGTGATACTTACCGCTGGATCTGTTTTGATGACAAAGTAGTTGTCACACAGGTGGCATTTCATCCGGAACTGATACACCGGAGTCGTGTAATACATTCCAATCTTGGATTTCTCGGCGTTGTACCTGAAATCGCAGCTTCGTCACAAAAAGTCACCACGATCACGAGGTGTAGTCTTCACGGTACGCTGAAAACTATGGTGTTATAATGGCATCGGTGCAGCGGAAACAAGCGTGATACACAAACGTATTCTGCACAGACGACAGACTTCCCATCGCGAGGTGGTCACGTTTGCCTGAAGTTTGATACTGAAATCACAACACGTGTGCACAAATAATCACCCCTTATCACGCCGTCCGGGGGCTGAGGGCCTTTGACGTTGCGTTGTAGGCCCCGAGAAGAACACGGCGCAGCGCTCATCAAGCCAGGATCCGCATCCTTCCGGCGGTTTAACGTCGATCACAATGAACCTAAAGAAAGCTCAAATTCTTACAAGACTCTCCATTTGGCTGAGACCAGCCACACCCACAAGACTGATGTTATTCTCGGTCTACAAAGCATGTTTTTTCAGCAACACCTCTGCGGTGCCCTGCCATTACCAATGGCTGAAGAACGACTCCTGGCGGCGTAATGACACGTTTCAGCAGCTCACCCGAGAAGAAAGCAGTAGATTAAGGCCACACTGACTCGCACCGCCCGCGGATGGCGGCTGTCTCCAAGCCTGAGAGCCATGATCTCAACTGCTTCAACGCCGCGGCTTCTAGCGGAGACACCATGCCCGGCTCTAGCCATCAGCAGCAGAATCATGAACCACGAGACGCAGGCAGCTGTCTTACCTGACGCCCATGCCTATGTGATTTCCGCATCCGTCGCACCAGATGTTGTACGGCATCTCGAAGCGGATGACGAGGATGCCCAGGTGCAGCTTGCGGGCACGCTCGCGCAGCGCGTGCGTGCCCTGGAACTTGTTGAGCCCGCCCTTGGAAGGGTCATAGTCGGGCGGGTAGTACTTGTTGACGCCTTTGCGTTCTCCCTGGAAAAGACATAGCCGCGGGCTACATACGAGGACACGGACGAATACGCCCTTGACAGGGCATCGGACAGTTTCTACTAAGCACAGGACTGTATCATCATGCCCACGGAAAAAGCCTGCCCACCGTCACTGGTAACACCAAACTGTAAACATAATCGGTATGCACGAAGGAGAGAGTAATTCCGCTGGTCTGGGGTTTCATATGTAACGGCAGGCGCACATGACCTGAAAACGTATACGATGGGGAGTGCCGGGAGTTGGGGATGCTGGCATGCATAGTGAGGTTGGGAGGGACTTCGAAGCAGTGCTGGCCAGGCCTTCTTTTATTTGTGCCAATCCTGTCTGTGGCTCTCCCCGAGTTCGAATCTTTTGTTGCCATTCCTTCGTGTTGACTTTGTTAATGTCAAGCACCTGGCCACCTACAACTTGTTATAGTATTAATGCTGAACCCCTTTGTACGTCGCTAGGAAGGAGAGAGAGAGCAACCCTCCTGGTGACCTCTTCACCGGGCAGAGAAACTGGGCCTGGACCAAGACGGGAGTGAACCTTACGTATGACACTGTTAAGGCTGGCAATATCGTTAGCAACCGCATGCGTTGAGCAACAAAATATGGAAAGCCAGAAAACTCGCACCCTGGGGAATCTGACGTCAACGCGAGTGCTCCACGCGCACTGGTCACACCTGGCCACACCTGGAACAATACCGTTTAAATCTCATGATCTCACCGAAGCTGGAGCACCCCGTCAACTGAAACTAGTCCCCGATCGGCCGGTCGCTGGGGGAGCCTTGGACTTTAGCCCGGCTCGGACGGCGCGGCGCCGCCCAGCGCCGCCGCCAGGGGAGAGGAGGGCGCGGGAGAGCGGGCGAGCCGCGGCGACAGTCAGCGGGCGGCAGCGGCGGCGCGATGGCCTCACACAGAGAACGAGCAGCGGCCGCCAGGCGGACGCGCAGCCAGAGCACGCCGGCCGGCGCCGGCCCCAGCGACGGGCTGCCGCTGGGGCCGGCGGGGCCGCGCCAGCAGCACCGCATGCACCGCAACTCGCTGCCCACCATACCGCACTTCTCCAACATGAAGAACAAGCGCAAGTACGTGCGCTTCAGTTGGCGCGAGAAGAAGATCATCTGCAGCGTGGTGGTCGGCAACCTGCTGTACGGCTGCATTGTCGGCGTGCTGGTGCCGTTCTTCCCCAGCGAGGCAGAGCGGCGCGGCGTGTCGCAGTCGCTGGTGGGTGGCGTGTTCGCCGTCTACGCCTTCACACAATTCGCCGTGGCACCACTGGTCGGCAAGCTAATCCCCGTGCTGGGCGCGTCACGTGTCTTCCACCTGGGCCTGGGCACGGCCGGCGCCTCGACGCTGGTGTTCGGCCTGCTGGACTATATCGGCGACCCCAACGGCTTCATGGCCGCCTGTTACCTGGCGCGCGTGGTGGAAGCGATCGGCACGGCGGCCTTCATCACAGCCTCCTACACGATCGTGGCCAACCAGATCCCGGACAACATCAACCTGCTGGTGGGCACGTGCGAGACCATGTGCGCCGTGGGTCTGGCGGCGGGGCCGGCCATCGGAGGGGGCCTGTTCACCGCCGGCGGCTACGGCCTGCCGTTCTTCGTGCTGGGCGGCGTGATACTGGCTGTGACGGCCGTCACCTGCTGCACGCTGCCATGGGTCGGCGGCGACCCTCAGCGCGTGCACGTGCGCCAGATGTCGCAGAAGATGATGCGGTCTTCCGAGGTGTGGCTCAACGTGGTGGTGCTGCTCTTGGTGGCTGTCGACTGGACGGCGCTGGACCCTGGCCTGGCGCCGTTCGTCACCGCCGAGTTGGGTGTCTCGCCCGCCCAGCTCGGCCTCTTCTTCTTGCTGGCCAGTGGCACCTACGCCGTCATCGGGCCCGTCTGGGGCAAGCTGTGCGACGACCTGCCCAACAACTACGTGCAAATGACGGCCAGCCTGCTGCTGGCCGCCGTCGGTCTGATCCTAATCGCGCCCACGGCCGTGCTGCCGCTGGCGCCCAGCCGCTCCCTGGTGGCGCTTGGCATGACCATGCGAGAGCTGTTCCTGGGCGGCGCCTTCATCCCCACCTTCGGCAACATCCTGCGCGCCGGCGGCGAGGTCGGCCTCACGGACGGGCTGGCAACGCAGGCGTACGTGTCCAGCATCTGGTGCAGTACCTTCTCCATCGGCAACACCATCGGCCCGCTGGCGGCCGGCGTGGCCACAGACGCCTACGGTTTCCCGGCCACGGTGGCGGCGCTGGCGGCGCTCACGCTGCTGCTGGCTGTGCCTGTGGTGCTGCAGTGTCTGCGCCGCTGGCGTCAGCTGCGCGTCGCTGCCATCGACGCCGACATAGAGCGGCTGACGCGGCTGCGACCGACGCGCAGCGACGACGCCGAAGACACGGAGCGCACGCCGCTGCTGGCGGCGGTGGCGCCGTCGGCCGGCGCCGCCGACACGGCGCCGCCGCCGCCGCTGCTGCACGCGACGCCGCGCCGGCCGGACGCGGCCGCCGAGCCGGACCGGCCGCCGCTGCTGCAGCCGACGCCGCGGCACTCGACGCCCGACCGACCGGCCGGGCTGCAGACCATACCGGACAGCGAGTAGCGATGCTGACGACCCTGACCGCCGCCAGCACGGGACGGCTCGGGACGGGACGGGGCGGGTGCCGCAGCCGGCACGAGCCAAGGCGACGGTGCGCCGGGCTGAGACGGACGCCGCCGACGGGACGGTGCTCAGTGGTGTTGAAGGCGGTGCTCCGCGTTTACGGCGGCCTCCATTGTGGTACCGAATGACACGTTGTTTTGTAAATGCCACCCCAATACATGTCACAATTGAATGCACCGCGCGGTTGGGGCCTACGTAACCAGAACGTGACAGATATATTATCTGTGCATCTGTGCAGCATTCGTTCTGTGCATTATGCACATAAATAACATGGCAGCTGGGACAGAACATGGCATCTCTGATGTGAATGATTTGAAGTCCTGGCCCGGGATTCACGGGAGGAGATTGCATACAGGATACTCTCGCAACATAGAACTAAAGATGTTTCATTGGTGAACACTCCTGCATGTCTGGACAAGCCACTAATACCCGCCAACAAGTGCAGACGAGCAGTAAACTTGATTGCATCGGACCAAACATCCGTGACCTTAGACATGACCGTTCAGCAGGTGAGACGGACGACCTCCGGGACCGCCAACTATCTCAGGCTACCGTGACCTCTCTTCGTGCAGCAGGTGAGCAGGAAACAGAGAAGAGAACCAATGAGCTGCAGGGTCGGTGGCCACGCGTGCGTCGGTCACGCCTGTCCAGTGATTTCAAGCAGCGTTGGTGCGGCTGGGTTGGTGCGTGTCAAGCTCCAAGCTTTTCCACAGGTCGAACACCCCATTGGCATGCGTGGACTCGGTTGTAAGGATCCATACTCGGGATGCCGATGCGCAGATAACGTAACAAAACAGGGACAACTTGCTCATGGTTTGCTGTTCCGCGCACGACACTCCAGAAGATAGGGGAGCCCCCGGCTTTATCTGCTGAGTACTCGAATCTAAAGGATAATGCCACCCTTGAAGTCTGTCACAAAATCTTTGCAAGGTCGACTCGAGACTTGCTGGCAATGAGCTTGACATTGGAAAGCGCTTCTCGTTGGCTGAAAACAAAATGAGCATATCAAAAACTAGGTTACGTATCTTTCATGCCTAAAAGGCCCATTAAAGCCAGAACAGTGCTACGCGATGACGATATGGTATAAGAGGATTTTTGGAAACATTTGCCTCAAACCCACTGTAAAATCCAGTAGCCCTGCATTGACCAGTTACTACATTTATGCGAGGCAATGCGTCCATGGCGGCCGAAATAGCTAGTCAAACGAATCATGTTCAGACGCCAAATGATGCCTCCATGGCAGCAGATACAGCCAGTCAAACGAATGATATTCGAACGCCAAACGACGATCAAACTGTCACATGAGTAAGTCAACCTAGGTCGCTGGCGGGCCTGTCACTGAAACCCACACGCCGAGCGCTGAATGACCGCTGCAGTCGACGCGACTCTCAAACCCCAAACTCGCCGCTCACCGTCACGGGTTATTGACAACCGTCTAGCTCCTGACAGCAAACGCTCCAGGCACCGCGATCTGTCTTGGTTGAAATGCCTAACCCCAAGGCGACCCCAGCTCGGGACGCTGCCCCGGAGGAGGGAAGGGGGGGGGGGGCTAGCGCTGACACCGCAGGCCAGCCGCGATCCCGCCGAGTGCGACACGAGCGTATTGATCTCACATGCATCGCGACGCGACCCCCTCCTGACTGGTTGCGCCGAAGGATTGACCAAGGACTTGGCGACCGCCAGATTCGTGAGGAGCTTATTGAGAAAGATGAAGACCAAACTGCAACACGCAGTTCATGCCAGAAGCCGCATCGCAGTTACGTGCAGCATCAACGCCACACATGGGGTCCAGCAAGGGCCATCTGGTAAACGGGCGAACATTCCCATAAAGTACGATTGTAATGTTACTGCTCAGTTACGAGCACAGTTATTGCACGACAAACAGCAAGGTCCTCCTAGCACACGGAAGCGAGCAACGCGTGGGAAAGAAGATCAGACCATTGATGCGGCGACGCTGAGCTCTGTACCTGCTGAGTTTCGCCGCGTCCCTATCCAAAGAGTCCCGTGGCATCGGGGCGGCAGGCTGCGGCGATCCGACAACAGATACACGGTGCTCTTTTAGAAGTTGAGCAGAGCAATCCGCTTATTCACCCGTGACCTCCAAAACACGCGGGGGCGGGGGGGGGGGGGGAGGCACCAGCGCCGCTTCCCATTTCCCCACTCGATGCGCCACTGGGGACAGGCATCCTGTGGTTTACATAACGCCAGGCGCGCGAACGATCTGTTTGGAGCTCTCGAGCTAGGCATGAGTTACGCTGCGACCGCTCTGCGCTGGTGGGTAGCACACGACGACGGTCGTCCTTCCAGCTCATTTCTGCATTCACAGCGAAAATGACATCTGGGAATGGAGTGATCCCAGACACGACGCGTGCGTTGCAGGAATGATATGTAACCCGTTAGTTTACAAAACTCCCTGAAAGGCCAGATATTTGACTAATTATTTAGCTTGAAATATCCGGGAAACGGTTTATTTTCAAAATCGACCAGACACTTCACAAGCTTACTAATAAGTTCCTAGCCTGCCCACCTCGCCTGCAAAATATGGGTTGAATTTGCTACGTTCGCCTGCGCCAACAAGTCACCATTCGGCTGCCTGCACCGCTTTGATTGCCTTCAACACAGGCTGACATTTGACAAACGAACTTTCTGCTTTCGTCATATTAGCAGTACCGACACTCACGTGACCAGAGAAGTAGATGAGGCACATCGTCCTCATTAGTTTTTGAGGACTGCACTGCCTTGGCGGACTGCGCTAACGTGACTCGGCCGTAAGCAAGCTTCCAAACAACACAACTGTGAGTGTACACAGCGATGTGCCAACACAAACTGTGAGTGTACACAGCGATGTGCCAACACAAACTGTGAGTGTACACACCACCAGCGATGGCGTGCTCCGATGGCAGACCGCGTGCGTCGCTCGCCGTGCCAACCACGCAGTCACTGGGACGACGTGCCGACCGTGCTGATTCTCGGCAGCTGGCGAGCTGGCGCTGGATCACGCTCAGCTGACGAAGGATCCCCACGCCATTGCCATGTGACCTCGGAGTCGGCTCGGCTAGCGCGCGCACTCAGTCGCGCGGCGGGCACATAGCATCAGTGCCGTTTGTTAATATCGCGACCACCATCCGAGGCGAAACAACATCCCTCCAGCGACATCTGGGAGGAACTGTTGATATTTCTCGCACGAGGAGCACGACATTGCTGCGGGTTTACTCCGGTCCCCGGCCACGGAGCCCGATCTCCATCTGGCGAAACATGACTGCTGAATTTGCGCCAAGGTCGTGATAAACGACACCTTAGTGTTCATCGTGACCAGGTGCCGCCCGGTAACGTGGCCTGCGGCAGGCGGTCTCCGATGCCGCCGACTGGACGGACACTGCTTTGCGAGTGCTCGCGGCGTTCAGATATGTTGAAGGGAGCTTCCGATTTCGTGTCATGTGTCACAACTAGAACTTGAAAACCGAATCATAGTGCAGAAGGCAAAATGAACGTGTCATAACTTGTCATGACTCCAAACTTGTCTGCCGTCGGCGCCCGCCGTGGCTGATTCGGGTCATCTGACCTTCGACCTGATAGCCCACGCCTATCCGACCCACACCGTCGTCGGCTTTTCGTGCACGCGATCTGCAGAACAAAACGGTGCGTACAAGGAACAGCACGGGGGCGCACGCAGTGTGGAGCGCACAAAACAGACCCAATTTTTCACAAGTCCTTTGAAATGCACGACATTCGAGAGTTGGTAATACATAACGCTGTCACACGTTACTTGCCGCATTATTGTTGCCCATAAAGACATAATTATAGACCAGTACCAAGGACCACACACATTCATCATGAACAACAATAGGCAGCGGACGCCACGCGCCAGCTGGGGCCCCTTAACAATGTCAACAGGACTTACAACGGCACGTCAAAACCCGTTTACAAGAAAACAAAGGACACGACTTCGCTCCGTTCAGGCCATCCCCTGATGCGCCGTGTCCAACCTTAGGCGCGATGCCGCGCCTGCGGACCTCAAACACTGCCTTTCTGGTGACTACAACCGAATGCAGATTTACGCCATTTTCAATAACACAACATGCAATAGCTTGGAAATTTTTAAGCGTATTGCTAGGCGTTTGCACGTAGGGTGTTTGATCAGGAATGTCCTCAGCAACGTTGCATTGCCACTACGTTTTCGCCTCCGCATAACATCAACGTGGAAAACATAACAACTTCCCATTCCGACGGCGCTGAGAACATGAATCAAAGCGGGGCCCGTCGCTCAACGACCGGGCGCGGCAGCCAAGCAGACCAGCAAAGGCCAAGCGCCAGACCAGCAGACTCTGACGCGGGATAGAACAGACCATCGTCATGGCAACCGCGTGGGGTTGCCACGCGCGGCCGCTCGTGTTCTCTTGGGCAAACGACAGATCCGCCCGTTTGGACGTCGCTTAAGGATCAATGTCATACTTAATCAGCCAGAGCGGATAGACACGTGGGACTACCTGAACCCTGTGGTGAATATACTGGCAACAAGCTCGCGATGGCCTGAACTGTGAGATTGGGCCGGAAAGCTGCAAAGGTCTGTAGTCCTGTTTATTGTGACCAATATCGGTCCCGCATACAACAATTCGACATAACTTTGCAAACAACTGACAACAAACTTACAGGAAACGCTCCATATTTAAAAATGTTGGAGCAAACAAGGTCAGATATGATGAAATAATCTCATCAACTATTAATATACTTTTAAGTGGAAAACACTGCTCTAGGTACCATAATTTTTCTGTTCACTAAATATGCTCCTCCATATGTCATCGTTGGAATACGTCATCGTACCCTGCACAACATTGATTAGGAGCAAATTGACAGCCGATATATCTCAAGATTGTGCTGCTCACGAACACCAGGTATGAACGACTCGACAGCAACAACTCGACAACTCAACGACAACTATG